CCGGGATGACGCTGCAAGCGCGGCCGCTCGGCGGAAGCGGGGCGGGAGCGCTGCGCGCGCAGCGCCGGAACGGGCGGGGCCGGGAGCGGGAGCGGGAGCCGGGGCGTCCCGGTAATCCTGGGAGCCGTGGGCACAGCCCCCGCAGGGCGCCGGGCTGGGGCCGGGACAGGACCGACCCACAGAGTGAGGTGCAGGCGGTGCTGGTGCCGCGGGCCGGGAATGTCGGTGTGCGGGGCGCAGGGCTGGAGCGAGAGCGTGTCCGGTTCTGAGAGCAGTGCAGCAGACAGGGAGCTCCTGGAGCAGGTCTAGAGAAGGGCAGCAAAGATGATGAACTGGATCATCTCTGTCACGATGATGCGCTGAGAGCTGGGCCTGTTCAGCCTCGGGAAGAGATGACTGAGAGGGGACCTCATCAATGTGTATAAATATCCAAAGGGAAGGTGTCAGGAGGATGGAGCCAGGCTCTCCTCGGTGGGACCAAGCAGTAGGACACAAGGCAGCAGGCAGAAACTGAGGCACAGGAAGCTGCATCTGAGCATAAGGGAGAACCTCTTTACTGTGCAGGTTACCGTGCGCTGGAACAGATTGTCCAGAGAGGGTGTGGATTCCCCCTGACCGGAGACATTCAATAACTATCTGGATGCAATCCTGAGCCATGTGCCCTTGGACAGTTTGAGCAGGGAGGTTGGACCGGATGACCCACTGTGCTCCCTCTTAACCTGACCCATTCTGTGACTGTGGTTCTGTGAGAGGTGAGATGGGCTTTTGCACTCCCAGGGGTCTGCCCAAAAGCTGTGATTGCACAAGGCAGGGGAAGGGAGGCAAAAAAAATAAAAATACTCTTGTGGATGAAATAGGTTTGGTTTATAGGAAAGGATGGAGTAGGAGCTAAAATTATCAACTGAAGGACTTCATTGGAAGAAGATGAGTAATCAACCAAAAGTTATTTTTGGGCTCAGTGATAGATAAGGAGCACTGAAGGATGTGTGTGATGGCAACAGCCAGGAGCCTTCAGCATGATGAACCCAAGTTGTAAATGTTGAAACCAGTAGATGCGGAGACCTGAATCTCAACTGCTTCTACAAAAACTCTTGGTACTAGGATGTGTTCAAAGAAACAAAAGCAGTGCTTTACCATACAAGTGAGAGGATAAGAGAGAAACATCCCTTCCTTGGACCCCTCCTAGCTCCAGAAACCCAGTGCTCCTCTGCTGCTTACAGGTGCAGCTGTGAAGAGCTTCTGCCACAGACAGCAACCACTGTCTGGTTGTTGGCATGTGCACTTCTGGCCATGCTTTTGCCAAAGAGTTGATATCCTAAAGAAGGATCTTTTCCTTGCTGTTCCTCAAATGTGATTTTCAGTTCCAAACAGTAGAAGAATGAGATATGAAATGGCCATAAAAATAATCCAGGGTTTGAACACAAACCTTAAGGTGAAAGGCTTAGAAATTTCTGTCTTTTCAGTTTGTCATGGAGAAGAAGAGCAAAAGTTGACTTCATTGTCCAGCGTAGGTTCCTAGATGGGACAAAGAGATTTGAGCGAGCAAGGATTACATTTCACAGAGAAACTTCAAAGGGTGTTTTGCTGAAATTTTGCTGGATTATGCTGGATCTTGAATTAAGGTGGAGTTTACAATTACTAAAGTGATTTAGGTGTTAAAATTGACCAGCAAAAGCAATGAATCTTTTGTTACTTAGACTTGCTGAGAGAAGCTTTCTATAAAAGCTTTGATCCAGTTCCAGGGTGAGATCCTGCAGACCATCTATTCAACAGAGAGCAAATCCTAGCTGCCTGCCTGTGAATTTATATGTGGGGTATCTCCAGTCAAACGTTTTGCTCTTTATACCAAAAGTGACTTACCTAGAGTTGCGTTTACTCATGCCAGCTAAATAGAAGTGGAATACTCGCTGCTGAACCCTTCAGAGAAACCCTTAGCTGATCTGGGCTCAGGCAGTCACACACCGCGCATTTCCAGGATTTGGGAAAGGCACTAGAGGGTGCTGTGCTGAAAGAGAAGAAACGGCATTTGTATCTGCAGGAAAAACTGCAAGGTGAAGAACCACTATCTCCGTCTTTTTACCTCCGAGACCGCGTAGGCCTCTTCCTGCAGTAACAGCCTTTTTCCTAAAGGAGGGGATCAATAGACCCTGCTTTTCCTGAATCTTACATAAACTGACATAAGGAGTAGTGACATCAGGAGACAAAGATTGCAACCTGATGTATAAACATGAACTTGATGATGACAAAGTTGTAAAGGATTGGTTGAACATTATTAAATGCATCTTTTTTTCTTAGTAAAGACAGGCTCCAGGGGAACCTTGGGTGGGAGCATGGGGACACTGGAAGTGCCCTGGCTGTGTCTCTGGCCTGTGACAGGACCATCTGAGCAGGGCTCCTTCCCATCCTGAGCTGGTTGGATCCAGGCCAGCTTGGATCCAAAAGCTGGGGCTGTGTCATCAGCACCAACAGGCCCAGCAGGATTTATGACTGCTGAAAGATGGCTCAGAGCAAGTCCAGATCTGTTTAGAAAAGGCTTTTGATGCTGTGAAAGCTCCTGTGGCCCCATTGTGAGGAGCACAAGTGCTAGGTGAACCCTCAGACAGTACAAGCAGGTGCTGCAATACAGCAGAAGGTGTGGGGAAGGAAACCAAACCCCTTTGCGAGGCATGCTTTAGGCACCTGTGTGATGCCTGGGATAGAACAAATATTCACTTTAAATAACAGAGACTCGGGACTTAAAATACTGCATTTAAATTTCTTGTTTCTTTAAAGGTCAAGATGAGTTACCCTCATTCAATATACTGGCAGGTGCATTTATTAACGTAGATTTTATTTTCTGTGGGGAACATAATGTTCTTGGGAACATGGCTATCACAGAATGGTTTGGGTTGGAAGGGACCATGGGCAGGGATGCCATTTACTAGATCAGGTTGCCCAGGGCCCCATGCAACCTGGCCTTGAACACTTACCAGGATGAGGCATCCACACTCCAGTGTATCTTCTATGTGTCTTCAGTAAAGAAAACACTGCAATCCAGGAGATGTTTAAAGTACCACTACCACCCCATTTTTGTGTTACCTCTTCCATTTCAGCAGTTCTCAAACATTTTACATTCTGGGTCAGAAATGTACATCCAGGGGAAGGAACGAGAGCAAAACTTTACCTTTTTTTATGTTTGTAATTAGTACATTTTAAAAATCCCAGCAGAGTTCACCAGATGCTCAGATGCTGCCCCCTCCTCTCTGCACAATTCCCAATTTGCTTCTGGCTACTGCCTCAGCAGCTACTGTAGGAAAATCCCACCTGCAGAGTATCCTTTTTTTATCAGGCTGTTTTGCCACAGCTAGCTACTCTTTCCATTTTCTTTCCTGTTGCCTTCAGCAGGAATAGGGAGGCTTGAAAAGAGAATCACGTTTTTCACATTCTGCCAATGTCAGTGAACCGAATACAGTCGTAAAAAAATGAGAAAGATGGAGGCAAATCAACAAAAAAAATGATCAGGTAAGAATCTGAACTTGATTTCTCAGGCAGCTTGTAAAATTACAGCTTCACCAGTATGAAGGCAGCCAGGGTCATTTATGCTGGCTCTTCACAGCTTACATGTTTCAGATCCCTTGATGACTTTCAGTTGAGATTGTAAGCATTGCTTTTCTTAACAGTAGAAATGTTTGGCTGCTTTTTTATTCAAAGTGTAGCTATTCCTGTAGACAGGCACCTTGCTTACAGTAAACAAGTGCCAACATCAGTGTACCAGAACACACAAACTGTAATTTGCACGTCTAGACTTTATTATTATGGCATTTTAGTTGCAATTTATCTCAGACATACAAGTCAATGTAATTTTACACTTCATTATGTCTGCTGCTGCTTTCCCAAGCAAAATCAGCATTAAAAAAAAACCTGCAGAACTTCAGCATTTCTAAAAAACTCTGGAAATGACAGTAGGTGCCAATCTGTAATGCAAAAACCATTTATGCACAATCCCTCTTTCCACTAGTCATTAGCTATTCATAACAGGGCTTATGCTATTTTCAGATTCATGAATTATGAAAGAGACTACTTTTTATTAATAAATTACTCAAGACAAAGGTTTTGAGCCTGCAGAGGTAGCCAGTTACGCATAAAGGAAAACAGGAAAGCAATCAGGCACAACCTAATCTGAGTCTGGAGAGACCACAGGCCTTTCCAACTGCTCTAAATTTCCTATTATAATGTACATATTTAAGTAAGATGTTTAATCATCTTACTATATTTTTCCCTTCCCAGTATGTGACAGGAGATTAAAGCAGGTCATAATTATCCTTTATATTGCTCGACAACCTCACAGTCAATGTGACTGGTGATCTGGAAGGTTGTCTTCAGTGTGCTCCAGCCACAGCTTTGATACTGCTGATAATTCAGATACAGCAAGCTCAACACAGAGGAACTTGCTGAAGTTACATCAATGGCTTCTATTTATCTGTACTTCCCAGCTCTGTAACCTTCAAAGGACATACAATCATTCACGTATAATTTGGCCTTACTGCTCTATTGTTCTGCAGGCCTTGGTGGATTACCCAGGGAGATTTATGGACAGCTAGCTTCAATGGGATGTACAGGCTGTTCTAGAAAACCCCAAACAAGCCTAATTCCAAACCCCCTCACCCTGACAAAACTGCCCTGTTTTTTGAACAGTGTTCCCTCCCACAAATAAGTGGAATTTCTGAAACACCAAACCTGCATCATGAAGGATAAAGCAATCACAAGGCCAGCTCAGGGTGGTTGAATAATAAATATAAATCAGGTACTACAGCAGGCCATAAGAATAAGGAAATGAAAACATTATTTAATATGGTATTTACCTATTCATGAGAAAAAGTAAAAAAACCCCAACATTCCAACATTTCAGACTGCCCTGGGCATTATGCTGCAAATGCACCTTGTACTTGGAAACTGTTGCGACGTCTGAATGCTTACAAAGATGTATAAGCTGCAGTCAGGAGAAAACACCATTCCAGTCATTTTCAAAAGGGTCTTTCCATAAATTACTTTATTTCTCATTAAATGAGCACAGAGTCATTACCATATTAATAACAGATATGTTTATTATTACATATCCATCAGTGCGGCTTTCAATACCACTTGAAACATGCAAATCGTCCTAAGGACGAATCAGTTTTCCAGTGCTTCTTATTCAATACACAACTGCAAAGCCATTATAAATTACTGAGGAGGTATTTGGTTAAGAAATAAAATAAAATAAAACCATACTGCCCATACCATGAATGTATTCCTGCTACAAAGCAAGAGTCTGACAGCATTTACTGAAATTCCTGAATTACCCAGAGCTTTTGTTTTTGTTTTTTTTTTGCATTGCCTATACATCTCTTGACTTATGAACAAGAATCAGTCTTTCTTTGTAAGAGGAATTCTCACTCAAAGATTGTACTTAATTTAGAAATGCATCTAGCATCTACAATACTTTAACCAATTAAAATTCAGTAAAAACTACTGATACGCAATAGTTTTTTAGAGGTTTCTTTTGTTTAGTTTTAGGTTTCTACACTTATCGACATGGCAATAATACAATTATCTCAAATTAAGGCACTAAAAGAACAATGTAAAACCAAGTAAAAGTGTTCTAAGAATAATTTACAGTTCAAACAGTGCATATATTTCTTAAGTGTTTGTTAACTTAATGTACGTTATCACTTAAAATTGTAAGGCAATACATTATACAGTAATAGAAATTATGTACCCCAAAATATGCTTCCAAACTCGGTGGTTCTTTTTACTGTTAGTTTCTAATGCCTCTAACAATAAAATAATTCAGTATGGCTTGGCAAAAATGCATAGATTAAAGGCAATTATTTGTTTTCCCCCCTTTACAAACCTGCTGCATCAGTATTTTGTAAAGCATAATGCAAAATATTTAACACTTTGATCCATTCCATAGTGGGTGGTTAGCATTAAGGCTGTAAAGAACTCTGCAGTGAAGGCACTGAAGTTCAAGTGATAAGGCTTCATTTTAAGCTAGTTCTGCAGTCTTCAAGAGCACAACTTAAGAGTCTTGAAAGCAATTGCAGTCCTTCTCACTGAGAAACCTTCCTCTTCTAGTCTGTTTCATATGCTCATCTTGACATAAATATCCCCTTCACAGGGTTAACAGTCCTTTTCTTTCACTGGTACGAAGAAAGTCGGCTTTTTTAAAAAATCCAAAAAGGCAGCACCTTTTTTATATACCTAGCTAAGCTTTATTTGCTTTAACTTGCATTACATAGTAATAATTAATCTAATCTACCTTGAGGCAAACCCGCAATTAAACACCCTCAGCGTGCTTTTGTGCCAAAGCAAGGAGGAGACAGTAATAGCAATCTTAACCCTGAAGCCTGTGATAGTTATGTTGAAAGGAACAACAGCCCGTCTGCACTGTTCTGTGTGGTTAAAAAAAGCCCTGTTTCTCTGACTGCATCCCATGAGGTTCCATTAAGCACTGTACATGTGGTTAGCTGTGGAACAAAGAAGAAAACAGACAATTAACGACAAATATAAAAATTAGCTTTGTAACACTACTGTGTGTTTGTCAAGAGCCTCAGTGAAGAAAATACTTTATATTAACATAATTCTTTTTCAAATGACAAGGTACAATACTAACATCATACTTACATCATCTTCCACAAGCTGTTCTCAGTTTCAAACAACATTAAGCAAACACAGACATCAGACAGATGATAATATTACTGCAGCTTTACAAGTAAGCAATTAAGAATCAACGGTCATGGGTGTATTCATGACAATGCAAGGTGACCTTTCACTTGCAGGACAAGAAAAGGTTCTCTAGGCTAAGAGAATGCACATGCAGTTGCAGAGCTCATCAGGTGCACAGGAATTTTGGCTGGTTGGTTGTTTTCCTCTTCAAACATGCATTAACTTGACCAAGTGCCAACTACAGTAAAACAAAAGACCTCAGCTGTGCTAATAGAAGGTGGAAAAATCAGCAGACTGTAAGCTATGAAGTGTAGGTTCCAATCTTGAAGCAGTATTGCAAATGCCAGCAAGTTCATCATGAAGTTCTGATTCACTGTCATTAGTGATAAGTTATTAAAATGAGGAACAGAACTTAGGATGAACTTTTATATGTGAAGCTCCTTTCAACGGGTCTGAAACACCTCTCCATGAAGCCAAGGTAGCACTGCCTACAAATTGCAAAGAAAGGTGGATCAGACCCTGAATGAAATGTACTGAAATGTCTTCAAGCATGTGTTCAAGTCTGTATCCATTGAACAAAACACTTAATGCCTGCTTACATGGTAGGACTCCGTCACCGAGGGCAAGTTCTGCTATACTGTCTGACAAGAGAACAATTTTCAGACACTTAGTAAAAGCTAGACATGTATATCGCATAAAAATCATTGCTGTGTCTCTTATTCCCACACCTAGGCAAGTGGTGAGGGAGGAGGACTGCAGGAAGCAGCACCTTGAGTTCACAGAGGCTGATCCAACAACTGACTGCCTCCTGAGAGGAAAAGAGCTTGCTCCTCTGCTTTATCACCTTCCTGACCCCAGGAGAGCATCCTCCTACTTACCTGTCCTCAGCTTTGGCAATCACTGCACTTCGCAGTGCACTGATCCACTCAATAGCTTGGCACAGTTAGTCTACATTTTTTTGACAGCCAGAAACTGTGTACCTTCATGGAAGGGTTGAAAATGGATCATTGCAAGCACTTATCTAGGATCCAAGGACAGAAAACAAGGAAAAGAAAACAGAGAGGGAAAATCCTCCCCTTTAAGTAGCAACAGGCTGTCAAATGAGCTCAGCTACTGTGCTGAGCTACCAGTTAAGTGTTCAGTACATAGGCTACACTGTAAATTTAATTAATAAGCTAAATTTTAACATTGGTATATTAGAAGTGAATTCTCCTAATGAAAAATTCATCGCCTCTTTTTAAATAGACAGGACAGAATATGTAATGGTATCAGGGCACAGGCTGGGTATAGCCCATCACAGCAGTACTTGTCTAGCTCACAGATACAACTCATAAAAAATTTAGCTGAGAAAGCCACAAAAACATCCACAGTATAACTGCCAGAATGAAGAATTCCAACCTGGCCTTTTTCTAATGCTTCTCTGCTCAGTGGAACTCTGAATCTTTTCACTGTTTGCTCACATTGCTCTATAGGTGCCATGTAGGCACCACTACACTCCATCCAACCCAGTGTCTGCTGTCTGATGGGAACAGAGTGTGTCACAGACACCCAAGGAGCTCCTCCAGCACCAGGAAGGTGCAAGGGCCCCCACCTGCCTCTTGCAGACATTTCCAGGCAGAATGACAGACAGCAGCACACACGTACCCAGCATTCCTGCTGCTCAAGTGCTGTGCCTCTCTAAATGGATTATGCTCAATAGGAGTCTTTCTCCACAATCAGTGACTACAATATGCAGCATTAAAACAGAGTTTCTTGTCATAAATTATATGCTCTAACTCTGTCAGTATCTGAAATCATCAAGAAGCAAGATAGCAGTTATGTCATCAAGTTCACTGATGGATTTGGGGTCAGTCTAGAAGAGTAAAATAAATGTTAACTGTTTGATCTATGTCACAGCTTGTCAGATAAATTAAAGAAGCTAAAGAGATAAGATACTATGCAGGTATTAACTTCTGAATTGACAGAAAACGTAAGAGCTTAATTTCTTCCCAAGAACTTGGAAGATCTCCTTGGGTGATGGAGAAAGGTGTGAGCAGAGGTTGTACAGATGGAGAAAACGCAAGGCTGCAGTACTTGGAACAGCTGATCTGACCTGACATTCACTCATGCAAGACCATCACCATCACCATCACCCTTCCTCCTTTCATTCTTGAGGCTCTCCCCCAAACCACTGCAACTTCTGAGCCCAACAGAAAATCACAAGCTTTTCTTCTGTGGAGTTAGGGTTGGACTGTTTTTGTTGCCATGCTTTGGTTTTTTTGGCTTTCCTTTAGGCAAAACATTCCTGGATTAATTTTCTGCTGAAAAATAGATCAGTTCTATTCACTCTGGTAATCTGTGAAGCATGAACTGACACAAGATAAAGCTCAGGAATGTGCAGCTGTCCTCCTTCTGGTGCTGGTGAGCTATTAGACACATTGTATCTTAAAGGATCTTAGGGATCTTAAAAACAGAGCTTTAATAATGGTGTTTCTCATTTTTTAAAAAAGTTCCATTCCCTACTTGTGTATTTCTGTGATTCTCTAACACTCTGAACAGGACAATGCCAATTGGATTAATAATAGCAACAGTCTCGGAAACTGATGTTCCCAAACATACCCGTTCCTTTAAAAGTTACTCTAAACTTTCAAATATCCAAATCTGTTCCCTCTATAACAGATTAGCTGCACACTTGTCCTTGCTAAAGGCAACTCCAAACCAACACTTCTATTAAGACAGAGTGAAAAAGAATCAATTCATTGATTTAAGCAAATGGATTTCTCTCCCGTATGAGTATGCATGAAAGCTGGTTTTTACAGCTACCAGAGGACCCCACAAGGATAACCGGAAAGCATGCTAAGAATGCAATTCAAAGGGTCTTTTGGAAGAGAAAGTCTGCAACTCTAAACATCTAAACAATGTGACATAAAGAAGTACACACTACCCTTACAAGGCAAGGATCATAAGGGGGGAAGAAAGTGTCTGTACACAATCATGAACACAGAATGGTTTTTTAAATCAGTATCAGTGCTATCAGCATCTTTCAAGTACTGTTTTAGATTATCCAATTACCACATCTTAAACGTGCAAGTAAAAGGTACATTAAAATAATTATTTCCAACCCCATTGGCTAGTTGGTTGGTTGGTTTAGGAGGAATTAGTTGCTCTGTTTGTTTATGGGTTTTTTTTTCCTGTCCAAGAGCATTCCCGCTTTAAAAGATCCTTAATTTAATGCTTCTTTTGGTGAGTACATTGACTAACATTATGCAGTGTCACATTTTTAAAATCCTTTTTAAATTGTATTAATGATTTTTACATCATCAGTTCTGGAGGTTTTTCTACTTACTCCTTTTAAGTAACAGCATGATAGGCTTTTTCTTTCAGTCTTATGTTGTCCAAGATTCACTGAAAAATCTCACTAGTCATTCACAGATCTCTTTAACCAGTTCAGATATCCTTGTCTGCCTTTAGTAACTGGTTTTTAAAATCCTGATTATCAGTGAAATAAATGTATCATACAAAACATACAGCACTTCATATTTTTTCATCTACGGAACAGGAGTAGTTCTTCAACAGACCTGCTGTAAATAAAGATGATGTTAAATAACAGATCTTCATTATGTATATTTTAAATATTGCAGGTGTCATTTATTTCTAAAAGTCTTACAGAATCTGGGTAAGCCTATGAGGGGGTCTAACATTTTTCAGTCAATCTTGGAAAATTTCCTTGGACTGAAGGAAAAATTAAGTTTGGAAACACCATGAAGCTTTATAGAACCTTCTGAAAGTTGGGAGAAATTGACATTTTTTTAGACAAGACAAATAATTTGACAAGATTTTGTTGTACAAGTGCATACCATGTAAATACATAAAAACATAGCTGAAGTCTCCCTGAAAATAACAATTACCAATTTGTCTTTATTTGGTACAATGCTGAAGATGCAACTGTTTAGTAAGCAATCCCTGATTTTACAGTCTTTTTAACCCAGGCTTATCACTCTGTGCTTTTCCACTGCACTCACCCTTATTTTTTTGAAGACGGTAAGGAAAAACTGCCCTCTTCCCAGGAAATCTCCCCACAAATCACAAGTGTTTCTGTATTTCAGAAGTTCGACTTGATTAAGTATTGGTGTTGAAAAATGCAAAATTACACCACAATTCTGTTGAATTCCTACCATATGAACTGTAACTGGTAAATTGAGACTTTGTTCAGTGTTTGTGACTCTGGCTCAGTTACATGTTCTTAAAGAGAAAACTGTGACCAGCAGTTATGTCCTTCTCCTGTAAATCAAACTGCCCACAACACCACTAATTTTGATATTGACAGCTTTGTGTTTGAGGCCGAAAGTAATTTTCCTGTATGGGATTATCATGAAGGCCTTCACTGAATATATTACTATCTCAAAACTATAATCCCTGGGAGTGTTCAAGGCCAGGCTGGATGGGGCTCTGAGCAACCTGATCCACCCTGGCAGAGTGGGCTGGAAGTGAATGATCTTTAATGGCCCTTCCAAACCAAACTATTCTATGATCACTTATGTTTTGGGATGGGAATCTTGGGGACAAGAAAATCAACACCCGTTTTCTCTTCCATATTTTTTCTCTTCTGTTCCCTTCAAGGAAGATGTTTCATGATATATCCCATATCTCCTTTTATCTGAAAGTCTGCTTTTATTGCATTTCATGCCAGTAATGTTTGGTAAGCCTGCCAATGTGGGAAGACTCTTTCCTTACTGAGACACTAGTTTCCACTCCACACTGTCAGTTAAATCGGTTATTTGGGGAGAAAACAACACACGCACTGTATCAGGAAGCTAATAAAGGTTAAAATCAGATTACAGTAACCTAAGCATTAAAAAAGTGTATTTTACATCATGTCTTGGTTAGTGCATAGGGTCACAAACAGTTCACAAAACAACTGCTGGGACAGAAGACTACTGGGAATGGGTAAGCAGGGAGGAAGAATGGGATTAACACTTAACTGGCCTCACAACAAAAGAACTGGCCTAACAACAATTACGAATGAAGAATCTGTAAGTTTTTCATTTCAGCCCCTTTTGCAGAAGACTTCTAGCGCACACAAGCTCAGAGTCAATCCATGGATGGAATGACTGTGGATCACCATTGCTGCTAAATGCCATTAGTGATATATCCACTGAGCCTTGCCTTTAAACAGGAAAAAAATTGCAACCAGCTCCCTCCCAAGCATTGGCAGGCCAGGTACAACCTCCATGGTACCTTTCCAAATGTAAGAACCAATAAATTTACCATAGTAACAGGAGAATTCTGCTCCTTCCTTTGGAATTTGAGCAAAGATTTAGATCAGCAGTTCATAACTATGGAATTATTTCACAATTTCACATGAAACAGGACTAATAAACTGAGTTTTTTTTAGCCAAGATGATCTGTAGTTTTTGTAGCTTATTTCTCACCTAGTTTTTCCAGAAGTATTTTTAACAACTTTTCGGAATGACTGGTTTGCTGAGGATCTTGTAGACAAAGTTCTAGGAGAAGCACGAACAAAAGTAGATGGAGGTGTCTTAGGGATCTTCTTTACTAAATGCGTCACCCACTTCTTCTGTTCATCTTGACAGGATGCCAACAAGAGCATATCTCTTGCTGAAGTTACATCATAACTCACTACAAGGAAAAAGGAGGAAGATGATTCAGTAAAAAACAGAGCTCCTTATCAAAGTAAGAGTTACGACACAGCAACTGTGCCACTGGAAGGAACAACAGCACCTATATACATTGTTCTGTTGAATTTGGTTATATATTTTTGGAAGACAACAAACAGCAGGGAAGATTATGAATATAATGTTTTACACAATTTGTCATTCTGCATTAAGATTCTTCAGTCTGACATGAATATTTGAGAAATGAGAAACTTACACTAATTAAAATTTTAATAAGCTGGAAAGTTGTGTGGGTGCCTTTTGGCCAAGTTCCAGAGTACATACCCTGAATGCTCCACTTCACAGCAGCACAGAGAAGAAACTTTTACTCAAGTCTCTGAAGTGGCTGAAGAACCACTCTGCAAGGTCTCAGCAGAGCTTGGTGATTCAGCACTGCACAGCAGTGTTTAATTGTCCCTAGCACAGGTCAGGTATAAGTGCAGAGGGAATGGTGTGGGCACCAAAGAACTGCCCAGTACTTGGGCACAAACCTCTCAGGGTCCTCAGCAGAACTCCAGCTCTCCAGTTATACCACCACAGGCCTCCCTACAGAAGTTTGCAACAGCTGCCTGTTCATAAGCAGTGTAACAGTCTATCGCTCTAACAGCAACTTTCACATCTAAAATCATGGAACTTTAGTTTTCGGTTTAATTTAAAACTCAAGTGCTTTTATTCACCTCCACTAGTTTAGCAGGTTTGGCTTAACCATGCAGAGAATACAGAACAGAAAAAAACATGGGTATACCTTTGCATGGTGCAATTAATTCCTCCTTTTTATCTAAGTGGTCTCTGTGGCACTTCACATGGCATCTTCGACATTCTAGGGCAGCAGGGGGTTTAAAGACATGCCAGAGAGGTTTGGCACAGGCCTCACAGTTGGCTGGAAAGTGGTATAACGTGGGAATAAATTCATGGCCTTTGTGATTTAGAAAATTTGTCTTCTCTGCCGGCTGTACTGGTTCTACCTCCAAATCCTTCCTGCATTCCCCCTCATTAGCATAGAGAATCTGAAAAAGAACACTGCTGTGTTATTGGTGAAACACTAAGTACTTTTATATACTTTTCATAGAAGCCACCACTTTTTCAAGAGAGTTAAATAGACAGGAGAATATTACTTCTTTTTACCTGGAATATTTTAGGAATTTCTTCAGTTTCAGCTCTATATACATCTCCTTGAGTTACAGGCCGGACATGAAACAGCTTACTAGATTAGAAGAAACATGAATCAGAAAATGCTAGAAGATTATGTACAGCTCAGAACAATTATCAAACTGCTTTGAAGTTGTTAGAATTAGGCAAGCAACACAACCTACTTCAACACTGCAATATGATTTTAGGAACTAATTCATAAACCATATAGATTTTGTCTACCCACATAAAAGCAAAATATTTCACAGCATGGAAAGAGGGTTATCTTACAATGGATTCAAGATCCATCATGGTAAATTTACTTAAGATAAAGGCTTTCAAATACTTCCTCAAAACACTAGGAAGTCTAACATTATTGCTGGAAAAGCTTAGTGAAAATCTAGATGGAAGTAACCATATTAAGTAAAATACTATCCAGTAGGTTTTTTTTACTTAATCATGTTATGGCTTGATGAACAATCTATGCCAAAACATCATGAAAGGACATCTGGGGCACCATCTGTTGAAAATACTGAAAATTTAAACTGGAACAAATATCATCTTATACTGGGTCAAGACTGTTGGTAAGACCATCTCTCCCAACATCCTGTTTTCAACAGGAGCTGTAGCAGATGTTTATGAAAAGAGAGTACGAAACAGTTCAAAGAGAAAATAACTCTTTTCCTGGTTATGAGCAATTGGCAGCTTAAGCACTTCCTGAGTTTGAGATTCCTTCCAGACCACTGTATTTGTTACTCCCTGGTACCTCTATTCATGAATTCTAAAACCTTTTTTCAATTACTATTCCGTAATATCCATAATGTCAATCAGCTGTTCAAATATCACAGTCATGTATCAGAGAGGGCCTTCAGTGACATTTGACACGATTTTCCTCTTGTATAACCAATGTAAAGGAATCAAGATTAATATATTTTATCACTTTAAACAGAAAACAGCTGGACAAGTTAGAAATGCTTTAGACTAGAACAGCAATGATCCTTCCTCTTTTTCTCTAACTTTTAGCAATCATAGGACAAAGAAAAAGTACTGTTGAAGTTCTGTTAATGGTATACTGAAATACAGATAGACATTTTCCAACTAGTATGGGAAATTAAATTTTTTTTATGAAATTTTTATTTCAAGCTCCTGGATTTGCTATCTGCTATTTCACACACAACACTCTTTTGTCAATTTGTATCCAAAACTAACAATAACTTTACTTACTCTATATCTAGTACCATGGATGGATTAGACTGGTCCTTGTCTTTTTCATCATTGTAGAACAGTATCTTTTTACTGCTCACCACAACATACTGTGGAAAGAAAGGGTAAAACAGTTGAAATTCTATTTTAAAAGGCAATTATTTATCCTAATATACTCCCACATCCACATAAAAAGCTAGAGTAAATGAAAGGTTTCAAATTAACACCGGGAGATATTTAAATCATCCTGAAGGCAGCTACACTATGGACAGCTCTGGAATGCTACAGTTGCAGCGACGGTGTTGTCACTGGATCACTCTAAAATGCTTGTAATGACTCTGCAAGTCCATCTGTACACAAACTCACAAATTTCAGTTACTATTGGCAGGTTACTATGAAATTTACTGTATCACTGAGAGTGACAGAATGCAAAAGTTATCACTTATTGATAATGTTGTAAAAAAACTTCTCTACTTCTACAAGCCTGCAGGACTTATTGGTACTTCACACCAAACTGCTGGTAGGCTAAAACAGAGTCCCATGGCTCCTGCTATTTCCTACACTTCAAATCTAATGGACTGGTAAAAAAAAAAACAAAATTAATCAGCAGAAACAGAAGTCTGGTACCTATGAATACACTGAGATAGTTAAGATCAAACACCCCTAACCTAAGTATTTCCCAGTAAGTTCAAGACTGGAATTCATTGTCTGCTGCTCTGCACTGGAAGTTGCTAGTCCAGTATCTTTGCTGGAACTGTTCACAAGCATAAGCTCAGTGTCAGCTGTGGCTGCTCCCTCCCCTGCAGTTTCAAATGTTTTAGAAGGAACTGAAAGACATGAGACACTAAAGAGAATTAAAAAGAGGTAAACTGGCAGCTCTGCCTACGCTGATCTCCAGATTGACATTTAATTTAACCCAGAAGGAGGGGAAAAGACAGAAAAGCACAAGAGTGAATGCACCAATAATTAATCTTGAATTCCAAGTAGTGGCAGGTAACTGGATGGGTTTCTGCACAATGCAGATCCTGATAATTTGAATAAATGTCTACACCTCCTACAAGGGGAGGTTTCAACCTCATTTTACATAGGACTTGAAGCTGACCTCAAAACCTGAGTATGAAAGTCATCTCAAGTTTATACAACAGCATTTTTTAAATGTGCTGTGCAAGGTGTGAGCTACAGCTGTAAATCTCAATTACTGAAATGCATTAGATACAAAAAAAGCCATGAAAGGGTGTTTTGTCACAATTCCTTAACAGAAAGCCTGATCAGCTTGAGTAAATACTAAGCTGTAATAATGTGAGCCTCCCGTCATTTTTCCCACTGAAGAAAAAGACTTGTACTTCAATTCCTTTATCCACTCCAATAGAAAATTAATGCCTTTTTCATCATTGAAGTGTGGACATTTGCCTTTCAGAGACAAGAGCAAGCCCTTAAGATGACAATGATCATGAATGCAAATTCTGACTGTAAAGGAATTCAATTTTCACACATATATAAGCCTTGGTGAAAGAACAACTTAACCTCACAAAAAAAAGTTGTGTACAACAGCATCAATATCCTGTTGCGAACATATAAAATCTTCTTACAGTAGTTCTGTTCTACAGTGGTTTTTGAAGGGTATTTTATCATCCTCACTTGGGATGAAATGAAGCCCCAGATAAAAATAAGGGTAACCCATTTCAGTGTTAGCTTTAAGTATAACTGAAGTGTTTATTCTTAAGTAAGTTTTCCATACTCATCCTTTTCTAACTTAAGCTAAATAACTCAGAGGTCATGGGGCAAAAACATCAGTGCTACTGACATTTGAGTCAGAAATGCAGCAGCTCAAGTTGTAACACCTCAGACACCAATCCAATTACAGTCCTAATGTAATTCTGCTTTTCCTTTAAATTAATCTGGGCATGCCTATATTTGAGGTTGCATATACCTTCACAAAACTGAAACTGCATGTGAATTTGGAAGAGAAGCACCTGAGGAGGCTGACTACCTGCCAGCTTGTTTCAGCTACAGTGCATTTCAGCTAACAGAATGCACATGTGAGTGAACATAGTCCCTTACTACTGTGTTTCACTGATATAAATCTTAGCTAGTTAAGGAACCTTTTCAGTGCAATTTATTTTGTGACTGAGCTGTCCATCTGCAGCTCAAATTCCTCCAAAGTGTGAGCATATTCAAACTAGGGAAGTGTGAATGTATTAACTGCCTAAAATATCTTGAGGTAAGTAAATATGCCTATAACTGGGCATGCCTGAAGAAATTCTGATAGTCTTTCACTGGAGAAGCTGCATTTATCAGGAGTTTAAAATTTCAGTTGTCAGAGAATGCAAAAATAATCTCCTTTTTTTACAAAACAACCATAAAAGGGTGCTAGAATCATTCTGACAGAAAAATGTCAGTATTTTATATAATCCAGAACAGAACAAAGCTACCCGATTAGTGCCAGGCACAGCCAATTCTATAACAACAGGATTCAAGAAGCCTTAGCAACCAAACACATCTATAGGAAGCATCCACCATTTAGTTTTGTTCCTGGTGGTGAACACGTTTTTCGTGGATAAAGCACCTTCTTTTCTGTATACTTTTGCTATTAATATTGCTGGTTTTATTGTGCTTGGCTTAGTCTTGCTTTGTGCTTTCAGTTAATGGTTACCTGAACCCTTAAGTTCTGCTTTTGTTCCTCCATTACCCAAAGGGACAGGGGAAGGTGACTGGCCATTAGTTGAAATAGGGCAGAACTTATCACTCACTCCCAGCAAACCAGAAGAGGTGGTGGTTTTAACTTACAGACAAGGTCTGATATTGATGTAAAAAATGGCAGGTCTGGAACTTAAACACTTGGAGTGTATAAAGAAGGCCACGGAAGCCCACTGAAAATAGCAGTATTTCAAAGGAGTACAGCAGCTAAAGGCCAATACAAACACTCAAGTGCTTCTTTGACAGGAATGAATCCCTTCTCCTTTAAATTTTATAGGAATCACTTCCAGCTGTTGTAGAATATGAATGTAAATAGGAGCATTTGAGAAATACCTTTCAACAGGAATCAGAAAGTTACTTCAAAAGTGTTATGAATAACTCAGTCATTCCCAGTAGCAGTCTTTGAATATAAGGAAGATGAAGGAAAAGAAACTGTTTCATACAATTAGTTTTTAAAATTTAAAAAATTCTAGAGACCATGTTCACTTTTATATTTAGTTGTACTAAAAGATGTTCAAAGGGGAGAACTGAAAAACTTGTAAAGATAATCAGAAACTGGTTCTAAGTATCTCAATTTGAACATCAGATGTTTCAAAGAACCAGATCATAACTTTTGCAGAGGCAAAACAAGTCTGCTTTGTTCAGAGTGGGAATTCCAGCACAGATATCCAGCTTCTGAGAGTAAATCAGTTCTTTTCAAGAGAAACCAAACATTTTAAAGGTAAGGGAGATAGAAACATCCTTGGAAATCATGCGTGGCAAGTTACAGTGTGATGTACTCTTCCATGACCTTCAGAACATTTAAGAGCGGTATTCCCTAATCTGTGCTGCCAAGTTGCACAAAGAGGTTCTTTTTCAGTAACAGAATTATAAAGATGCTTACTCAAAGAAGGAATGTCATTTTAATGGTTCCAAGATACTCATTGTAAAGCACTTCCCTGCTCTGTTGTAAATTTGCACAGTGTCGTTACTAAAGATTTCATACTGAACTTGAATTTTCTTGTGGTTTTTTTCTTCAGTAAAGTACATACACTAAATTACTCTTAGTTATTTTGTTTGTTTCTTAAATATGAGATACAAAATCATTTCACCACATGCCTAAAAACCTTTTCAAGGAAATTGAGGAAGAAAAAAAATAAGGCATTTGTACCTGTTTCTTCCAGCCATGCCGCCTTATATTTCCTTTGTTTGGTACTGAAAGCCAACCTTCAAGTCTTGATTCTGGTTTAAAAAAAATGCATATTTAATAATTTTGTGTATTTATGATAGTAAGGCAGAAGAGCACAAAAGCAAACCACTACTAGAAAGGAAGATTTACTACATGCAGTAATGGGCAATTACCTATTCAGCAAAGCAGAGTAAAAAGCACAGCTAAATAAAATGAAGATATAAGCATTTAATACATGCTTCATCACAAGCCAACATCTGATTACACAGTCACTGCACAATAAAAGTAAAGCTGTTTTCCCTGATGCCAACATCTAACACTGTATGTAAATAGTTTGCAAAGAGCCAGGCAGGAAAGTCTTTGCTTTGAAAATGTATTACAGTTTAAATTAAGAGATTTTCAATGTAAACATAATTTAACATTCAGAGGGGCTGTATGAAAATATTCAGCAGGAAGATGCAGGAAGGAAGACAAATCAGATCCACATTTTCCACAGGAAACAAAAAAAGGAGAGAGAGCACAAGAGCAAGCAAAGCTACATGGGTGTCCCATTACTCACAGAAGATAAGCATAGAAGATAATTAAATAAGGAATGCAGGAAGAATCAACTGGATATAAAGAATAAGAGACAGGTGTTTTATTCAAATTTTCAGTGAAAAATTCTACAAAAAGAAACGTAACATGATATATTTTCCCACCATTAAACTACAGAAATAATTTAGCATGCTACAAAAAAGGGCCACAAAAAAATTAGCATTCTGCCTAATGTGGACTGTTGATTTAAAAAGCCCTTCCAGCTGAGAGTGGTTTCTAAAATTTAAAATTATGAAGTCAGGTAACACTAGCACTGAAAACTTCAAAAGCATTAAGTCAAAATTTTTTGAAACGTTCTCCAATTTATGTCCTGAGGAGCTACTGGTTCCTTTTGTCCTTCAGGAATAATTCTATGTGAGGTGTATCCCAGCAAGCTCTGAAATGCATTCAAATGTATAAAAGTTATTGTCCACATGCTCTGCTATGTAGAATTACAATGGGACTGACAGCCTAGCTAGGCATTATAATTAGGCATGTAAAAGCCCTTCCCACATTAGCATTACAGCAGACAATATTTAGAAATGGAGTACACTTAAGAATACAGAATCACTACCTATCATTTCTCCACATAGAATAGCTTCAAAATACTGGAGGACCACTAAACTACTGCTATCAACTGGAAGAAAAGCATGTTAGCAGAGCTCGTTCCAGTAAGAAAACTTCCCAGAAAAATGAAGGAAATTTGCATCTCCCTGCCTTCTCACATATGCCTAAGAACTCTGGGGACTGTGGGGTAAGGGTCCCCACCCTCCCATCCCTACTCCCTCTGCTATCCTAGACTCTCTCCAATTATTGACACTCAGTAGCTTTGGAAAAGAAAACCTATTTTCTCCATGTCTACAGGCCTCACAGATAATGCTTACCTTGTTTTGAATACTTTGATTAATTTTTACATTAAGAGAAAATTCTGTGATTTTTAGAAATTATAGAAACATCCTAAAACCCATTGCAAATAAAAGTGATCAACTGCTAATAAAGAACAAAGTACGGAAAACTGACATGCCAAAGGAATATAGGAAGAATGACTTGTTTAAAAAAAAAAAAAAAGCATCTCTTGAAATTGTGGCATATGAAAATCTGGAAAGATCTAATGATGATGAATTTTAAAAGATGCTCATAGAGACAGCAGAAGTTTTTCTCGGTTCCCTTCTATTTCAGCATGTTCTGAAAACAATCTCAGAAGCAGTAGGAAGTAAATTAGGTATTTCATAAGAATCCATTGACATTCTTTTCTGTCTACTACACGTCTATTTTAGGGGGAAAATTCTGTTTGAATGAGAGATGATTTCTGAGCTGTGAATAACATCTTGCAGTGAAAAGTAACAATTTCCGAACATACTCCCTTTCAACAAAGCTAAAATTTGACCTGGAACCAAATGTACTCTTGAAAGGGTAGATGAGCTCTTTCATTCCAACCTCACCACAAAGGTTCATCTCAAGTAATATTTATAGTACATTTTTATATCTCTTGATGGACTTAGCACAACTGCAAATGTTCATCTGGCCATTTCACAAATATTTGATCCAGAAGACTAATATTTATAAGTGTTCTGATTAAGTAATTAAGAAAATATGGGCTATCTAAACTATGAAAAAGAATCTTCCATTCCTGTCTTTAAAAATAAGCTCAAAACAATTGCCTGACAACTTCCCTTTTTGTATTTTGGAAAGAATACCAGAACTGATACCTTGTATTTGCAATCCAGAAAGTCCAAAATACGACTTAAAAATATCTGATGACTAACTGGATCTGAATCATAGCATATGAAGAAAGAATTCTATAAAGGCTACAGATCTTATAGTTATCTCTGAATATTTTTCAGATGTAGATTTGCATTCTGAACATCTTCATGGCTAGTATCCAGACCACCAGGACTCATAGGGATTCAGTATGATAAGAGGTGTAACAGTAAAGACTTCAATAAAATCACACAAGACAACCTTGACTGTATTGCTCTACGAGACTTTTTGTTGTTCTGGAGCTAAGTAATGTGGGTGCTCCCATGAATAGCTGAGCATCTCTTTCCGATGTCCAAGAATCCCTAAGGGTCTTCCAGAGCAACCAAAAACCTGGAGATCTTGCTAGTTCTTTCCATTCTTCCAATTTGGATTTTTCCTTCTGCAGACTGTCTTACTATAATTTCACACGGATTTCACCAAGGACTTCTGACTGGATCTTGCTTTAGGGTTCATTCAGGTTTATTCAGGCTACTTGCAGGTACTTCAGAAATCCTATCTGAGTCAAATAAAACTGCTGACTTAAATGCTCTGCATTTATTATTCCATCCTATCTTTGCGCAAAACATGATTTACAGCATTTGCTGTAAAATATTATGTGCTTCAGTTAAACCTGCAGGAAATAGCAAAACATGCCCAGAATTGAATACAAGGAAAATGCTTCATATCCACATAATGATCTCCCACTTAAGCAAAAGCCTGAGAATAGCCTGGATTGTCTAAAGGCACCAATCCCCACCTTGGGAGAGTGCAAGTTGTCCTAGGAGCTACCAGAATTTGAGGGAGTATTTATGTAGGCCAATAGCAGACAGAAAATACCTCCAAGTGAAACACAGCTGTAAAGTGATTTTTGATGATACCATGTCATTTCTCTATGTCTGTTTATAAATAGAGAATTATTTTCCTTAAAATTTTGTGAATATAATTTTTTTTCTCAATTAAACCAGAAACTGCCCATTGCCAGAATCGTGACCATGGAATAATTCTTTTATATATGCTTATATTATTTTGTATCTTTATTTTTTTCCCTGGTGATGTTTCTATTCTGACAGGGAGATGAATAAATCATACTGTAATTACTTATTATAAAATTCAACCATTTATTTACTTATATATTTTTTTAAGGAGTGTCTTTGCCTTACAAACTAGTGCACCAGCTAGAGAGTTCTATTGACTATTCATCACATCCAGCTCGTAAACAAGATGATATTCAAGGTGCTCTGAAGAAATGGCCATGTTTGGGCTATGGAAGCAATGGGAACTTGGCACACAGTTGAAGACAATCAACATCATATAACAAAACTGCAGCAAATGAGCTGCTGTAATATGTCACCTTCTGTTTTGTAGACTAATTACCTGATTTGCAAGAAAATAACTATGTGCTGGATAATTTCCTCTTTCTGTGGCATGGGGTATTTCTACTCTGAAGTCTGGCTTCTTTTTTTTTTTTTTATCTTTATAATGCTACTGTACTCCTTTTTTGTCCTCAGCTTGGCTCTTCAACTACACTAATGTCACTTAATGTCTTTTAATTACCAAATTGCTTCTTATTCAGATCCTGATCAACCCAAAAAAAAAAAAAAAAAAAAAAAGAAGAGAAAAGGCAGCATGTAGAGACATGATCTAAGTCTAGAGAAGTCCTAATACTTTGTATTAGAGGTCCTACCTGTATGACACAGTAAAACCAGCAGGACAACTGCAGTAAAAAATCAGAAGCATGTATAGAAAAAAGGGCAAAAATAGAAGAGAAATGAAAGGCTATCAAAAAAAAAATAGTTGAGGACTAATGAATAGACACCTCACCCTAGAACGCCAGAACTTCCAGTAATTGTGATGGTCTAATTAACAACAGAAATTAACACCTGACTTGAAAAGATCTTGCAGAGACTGAAATTTCTGCCTCAAAATGGAAGTGACAGGTTATGCAGCTGAAAGCCTGACTACACACATCTCCAGAGGTAAAACTGAAAATAACCTTCCTTAATGAGGCAGACAAAGGAGGAGCTTTTTCCTACAGTCCATTCAAGATCTGAGACACAATAGGGTCATACTGACACTACTGCCCTTAAGAAAAAAGTAGGGAAGGTATCTGTGGCCAGATAGAAGCATTCATATTTTCCATGTAATACACAACAGCCATCAAATGAAAATGGCTGAGAAAGGAAGTGAGGGAGTTCAAAACCACATTTTTGAGTATAATAAATATGGTCTGTTTTGTTGTAGAAAAAAACTCTAAAGGTCTCAATTTAAGAGTTCAGAAATTTTCTGAAATTTCTGAAATTACGAACTAGAGTCTTCTTCAAATATGAGACACTTAAAAACAGTAAGGCTTGATTCCAATTTGTAATTTGAGGGGAGAAAAAAACCCCACTTTAATAAGCAAAACTCTTCTGATTTCTCTTTTATGCCTGTTAAATGGAAAACACTGAAAATTACTATCTAAGAGAAAAACTCCTGAGAAGTACTGATACTTCAGAAATACCAGAAGGAATCCTAGCAGGTGACAGCTAAGAAGAAAAAATGTTCCTTAATCAATCTAATAATTCGAAGAATTTCCAATGAGAGTTTGCCTTGAAGATGTTGTCAAAAGACAAAATCTTTACAAGATGGCAATTTACAGATCAAACTCCAGAGTGCAAAAGACTTCTTGAACAACATGGAAGTTGTGAAGGAAAAGACTATACCATTATCTGAACAAAGATCTATCCTAAAATTAAATTCATTACAGTATTAACCAAAAATAAAGATCTAAAAATGCACTAGGGGAAGATAGGAAACAAAAACAGACACAGAAAGGAGTAACTACATCAAAACACGTACTAAGACTGATAACCTACCTGAAATTTCAATCACTCTAAGACTCCTGGAAAAACACTAGAATGTGGCAATTTGAGCAGCGTGAAGTGCATTAACAGGAAAAGACACATCTAAAATTATTCTATTTACTTTTACCTGACTACTCATCCACTAAGGTCATAAAATACCCAAAACAGTATTCTGGTTATGTATGCCTAAAAATATTTTTCCACAAGGAAATTCAGACTTATCAAAAATATATTAAAAATTTCACAATGAATTCTAAAAATTACCTAACCATATAAAAAAAAGATATACGTAGCTGTGATGTATGGCAATGGTCAAGCACACCTGATTACACTAAACATTTTTTCCTGTATTGAGAGATACAGAAGTGGATCATGTGCAAGTACTAACTGATTACATTTTTCAAGCGTTGGGGAAGGGGAGAGGTAAATAACTAATTGGTGTAACAGTGGGTCTCAAAGTACAGTGCCTGGTACTGATACATGGAAATGGCTGGCTACACTGTATTACACGTTCTTATTTTAATCTGCTAAATCAGAGTACCATACAACCATACATTTATTACGGAAATTCCTCCAATTATTTTTCACATTAGCAATTATTGTGACTTGTCACAGAGGAGCTTACATGACTAAGATGATATAAGATCAGGACAATTTTGCATTCAAGATATAAAACACAATCATAATGCTGTAGAAATGTTGGCCCTGTCTTCTATTCACCAAATACTGCACATTGTAATCACTGTACTTGAAAAACAAGAGATGTAAAGATACTCTTTCCTCAAAAGCCCATATAAACAATGCTAATGCCAAGCCATACAATGGTAAGTGTGACATGAGAAAAAATTGAAACTTAAATATAAGCAACTAGGGTATGAAATTAAAACAAACAAAGAAAAAAAAACAAAAAAAAAAAACTAAGAAAGAAAGGAAGTGGAGATGTGATACAGAATTAGCCAGAAGACTTTAAGAAGCAGTAACTTGCTTGAAACAATACCTTCCAAACTACGTGTATGCAACACGACCAAGTAGTTCAAATCTGCTTTTCTCATACCTGAAAGATTTCCATCTGTTTCATCTGTCGGAAGACTGGCAACACTGGTAGAATCCATTCCTTGCTGAAGGTCCATGATTTTCCTTCGTAGTTGTTCTATGTCACTCTCTTTACTATCCAGCTGCATCTGGAGCTCATTCCTGTATGTAGATTCTTCTGCTAGTTGCTGTATTTATACACACATGCATAGTTACTGTGTTACCAACAACATGGCAGCCAAGTACTTTGAAAACCAAAATCATATATATATACATACATATATATATATATATATATATATTTACACATATATATTCCACAATGTGATAAAAAAATTAAATTATTTTACCGCTTGCATTTCATTAAGTTCTTTTTGGTATTTCACTACTATCTGATTGAATTTCTCTTTTTCTTGATTAAGTTCTAATTGGAGCTTTCGGTTTTCCTTCTCCTTCTTCCTCAAATCTTGCATGTTAGCTTTCTTTCTGTCTATTTTAAAATCTTTCCGATTCATTATCTCAGCCAGTTTGTTGACAGCCTGTTTAGAAAAAGGAGAACCAGTAAGAAAATGGTATAAGCAGCATGTTTCATAAAATACTTGTCAGTTCCTCTAGTTACAGATCTGATAAAAAATCCCTTCACCAACATAAATGACCCTTAGTCACAATCGAAGTAATACTGAAAAGTACACAGCATCAAAACTTATTTCTTCAAATGTAAATTTAACAATGCATGTTGTACATCATGGTTAATATAAACAATTTCAAAGGAACTAAGAGTTAGATCACAAAAACAAAAAACCAAAAAACCAAAGAAATACTTCTGTTAATGCAAAGTAATTATTGCTATTCAATTGCATAAAAAGTTGTACCTGTGTCTTCAGAGTTCTTTCAGTGTTTATGCTCTTCTCATAATGCATTCTAATATTATTGATTTCCTCCTCTTTTTTCATTTTGTAATCTGTTAAAATAATATTCAACTTTGAGGTATTTTAGTACATGGTACTTATTTTTAAACTTAATTACTTCAATAAGTGCATCTTTTTTTCCATTCTGTTTTCCTGTTGCTTTCCTTTTTGAGCAAAATACAATTTGCAGAGACAAAAATTACCAGTTTAACACTACTGCAATGAAAGAAAATTACCAGAAGGATATATCAGAAAGGCACAAAGATGAAATACTAAAGCAAACATCAAGCCCAAAATAATATAGAAGATAAATAGCAATGTCTTCTTCCACTTCCCATTTCTCCATATATGCTTCAAATTTAATAGTGCTTCAGAACAGATCAATTAAACATGACATAAACAACTCCAAACATGACGTACCTTCCTCTTGTTTCTTAAATTTTTCACTGATCTCTGTGTTTTCCTTTGTTATTAAATCAACATCTTTGGTTAAAGTGTTATTAGTTTCTTCCAGCTACATGAAAAGAAACACATCTTAGAATAAAGAACTTGACATCAATACTAAAATATCTATAATACTATTACTTTAAATACCTTAATTCTATAACAACCATTTACTTAGAACACCTTCTGCCTATGTGAACTTTTAAAAAATGCTACTATTCTTCTGTGCTGTTTTGATTTACCACAAGGCTCAAAATACACCTGTCCCAGGGGAAAAAGAAAAAAAATCATTGTAGAATTGACAACACTGTAGTATGGAATCAAAAATGAACTTTGCTTAAGTTAGATTGTCAGTTACGGAATGTGGCAATTTTCAGTTAATTGATACCTTGAATCCAGACAAAAAAGCAGCTGACAGATGCTAGAACTCCATCACTAAAGTCTAGAGCAGCTACAAGGCATTTACTGCTAGATAACTGTCATAAATCATAAAAATCAGGATAAAAACAAAACTAAATTTGGTCTAAGACAAAGGAGACGTAGGTAAATATGTACAGAACTTGCAAAAAAAAGAAAAAAGTTGGAAAGGAAAACCACTTTGAATATGTGAGTATTCAAATGTGAGTATGTTGTATGTTCACTGCCACAGCCAGGATCACTTAACAAATATATATGAAAAAACAGACATAATTGTATTCCTAAATAAAGGTTTTATTGAAGCCTATATAAATTATTGTGTATCAAGCTGTCTGACAAAATTATCAGAATACTTGAAACCAAAAATATATTGGCAAGAAGGTATTTCTTTGATGCCACAGAGTCTGTCTTCTAAATGCTGCTTAAGAAATAGTGGTATTGTAGATATCTCAAGTTTAAAAAAGCAAATTCATGAAATAAGCACTATTTGCACTATCTTTGCACAGAAATGGAATATTAATGGTAGCATTAACAGAAGGCTTTGAGCAACTGAGCCAAGTGCAGTTACACCTGGAGTTTTACATTCCCAGGATTTTTAAGAAAATATGCATAGCTGACACTAAAAGTGAAAAAAACAACAATGATAAAATAATTATGCTATATATGGCTTGTTGTTTGAGGCTTCTCAGTTAAAGACATTTATCAAGCTCATACTAACATCCACAAGCTGTGCTAGGAAATAGCTCCAAAAAATTACATTTTGGGGTTTGGACTGTGAAACTCAAGACTCTCAAGTGCTGGTTTTTTTTAAAGACTAAGTTACTTTGCAAAAAGAGTCTCTAATACACAACTCCACAAATTTACAAGATTTAAATAATACACTTGGCAGTGACAAGAAGAAATACAAAAGGCTTAATAACTGAACCATAGACATTCACTTGATTTCATTCTGACTTCACCTCCGATTTAGGAATTCTGTTTTTTAGAGAGGTTACATGATGAAATTTAAATGTTTAAGGTTCCATGTGAGCCGAAAACTTAAGATACTTAATTAGTTATCACTTATTATCATAACAAGACTTCATTAATTAAAGCCATGAATTTTGGTTTCCAGTTGGAAGAGACTTATACAGGTATTGATTACAGTCAATTTACCCTTCTTATGATGATGTCCTTATCAGTCAATTCTTGTCTGTGCCTTGACGCAGCTTTTTTGCTTTCCTGATTCAGTTCATAATACTGTTCTTCAGCAAGTGCCCGTGCCAACCGTTCCGACTCAGCTTTGGTTTCAGCTAAATCCAACTGGGTAGCGAGTGTTTCTCTGTAAAAAACACATCAAGACTTCCTTTTCCTATGCAAAACATTCCAAATTTTCAAAAAGGCTATCAAACCCAAATTATACCACTAAGCTAATGGTCATTATCTTTGTTTCTTAAGAACAGCAAGAGTTACAAAACTGCATTCTGTACAACACTTGTATCTTTTGATGGTCTACACAAGCCACAGCAAGCTTACTATGATTTCATTAACATTTCAATCATCCATGGAACACCAAGATGTATTCTCCTGCCTTTGAGGAACAGAAAATAAAATTAAATTGTATGTACTAAGTTGTCCATCAAAAGATATTTAACCCACATTTGCCCACTATCACAATTCCCATAGTTACGCCCAAGTGAGAAATGTTTAGGATGAACATAAGATTGAAGAGAATAGTGAGGGAATAGAATACAAAGAATCTATAAAAAGAAGTAAGAAAAGAAATAAATAACCTCAAGAAAAATAAGGGAAGTCTTGCCTACTTTCCCCATCCTCCCCATTTCTTTATGTTGGTTACCACTCGTGAAAAACTCGCAGAGACACCTGTATTTTCCTTCTACATGATATTTATTAGCACAGTATCTTTTCTTTCTCCCTTTCTTAGCCCACCAAAACGTTGCACAAAATGAACATTCTACATAACCTCTGCCCCTCACACTCTTCCAATGCTGATGCTCAAGCAGAACAAGAGACAGACTTTAGAAGAAACAGTACTTCATGTGTAAGGCTACAGTCTCCTTTTTTAGAACGTGAAATAAATTAAGAAATTAGAAAATCAAGCTTAAAATTTTTTTCTTATCTGAGAGCTTAGAAACTAGTACATCATAATTAATGGTTGTTAATAATAACTTGTTTTGCTGTAATCAAAAGTATACTAAATTTCATAGACTTCTCATTACTTTTTTTCTCAAATTATTTTACTGACTATAGAAATAAATCAAGCAATTACCAGGATAACGTAATCAAATTTTAAAAGTTGGTGAGATGATTACCACAAATTGGAATGTTTTTTCAAATTTTTCAGTCCTACTAAATTCTCAGAGAAGTCATTATTCTTCTTACAGACGTGGTAATGTCCAAAGCAAATATGAATTTGGCTTTGTGAGTCAGTATAGCTAACATCCTATGTATCTGCCACTCACAAGGAGTTACGAACACCTTTTGCTGCCTTTTCCTAAAGGAATTAAAACATCTTAGATCCAATTCAAAGTATTCATGATGGAGACAGTATGACATGGAAAAACTCAAGTGTATGTGAGAAATATAATGGGCTTACTTTTCATTTTGCAACTCCTGCATTTTCCTTTGTGTTTCTTTATTCCTTTCATCAATTTCCTCTTTCAGTTCCTTAACCTGAGTTTTGTAAAGTGTCTGTAAGAGAGAATAAAAAAAAGAGTCATTATTCAAATTCCATACTAAAATTCTTCCTTGTTTTCAGACTATTTAGTTTGAATTTGTCAAACCCCAACACATGCCAATACTGTCATTAATGAAATTTCCTTCTTCCTTCCTCTCCCAGATGCTTCTTCCCAGTTACTGTTGGGTAGGGAACTGATATGACCAAATAAGTTTTCAATTTTCTAGTGTGTTTTCCTACATAACTGCACAAATACAAGTGCTGCAAAAGAGAAGGAAGGCACTGTGACACAGCAGAACAGGCCTCCTGGACACAACAGGACAAAACTACATCCTCTTGAAGCACGCCTTATCTCAAAATGTTTGTCCAACAAGCCTAACGCCATTCTGTGCGTTGCATTCACCTGTTGCATTCTCTTTGTGTCCATGTACCTTTTCTCTTAGAATCTTAGTGGTTTTTTGTACAAACTCTGTAAGTGATTCAGCTGAATCTGAGCTGAGTCTGAATTATGAATGTCTTATTTAAACTACAAGTTAGTGAAGAAAGTGAGAAACACAATGCTCTGCATCTTCTTATTAGCAGTAAGTAATGGAGAAATGCACAAAACGCCCCTGTAACAGATAATGAAATGAGAATCACATGCAGTTTAGTAAAGACAAAAATTTTTATTGCTTCTCCCAGGGAAAAAAAACCAAAACAATTTAAAAGTATTTCCCAAAGTGAAATGAGTCTGTCCATATTCACAAATCTATTTGAAGTTCAGGTGTTACAGAGAATCTTATTCTATTGCTTGTTTTCACAGAGACAAAACAGATCAAACTACTTCTATGAAACACACATTTTGGCTACCTGGAGCACCCAGTAAGGTTCTTCAGAGATTCAGGTGCAGAGAAGGTAGCTTTTTAGAATAAGCAATACATGCAGAATGCTACTGAATCTATGGTTCTTAAATGTATGTATGGTAGATCAATAGCATGGAGTATCTTCCAGTAAGTTTGGAGATTCTGAACTCTCTACAAAGTTTGCAATTATATCAGGAAAATATCTCTTTTCCAATTGCAGGATAGGAACAACTCGAATAATTCAGGTGAGAGTTACTCAATGTAATGTCAGTTTTGACAAACAACAAAGCAACTCCCCATCTAATGTTCTCTAATATTTTGTTCCTTGTTTGTATTTCAAGCAGAATTTTCTGAGTAGATGATTTATGCCAGGCTGTTACATTAAAACAATTTTAGTTTCAACTATTCACTGTTAAATGATTTTATGTCAAAATGTAGCACACATAATCCCTTGCAAGTCTTACCGAAAAATACTGCTCAGCTTCAAGCTGATCCTGAAGCTCACGCATCTGACCTTCATTTCCTCTGTACTGTCTTGGAAGGAAAATAAAAAGGGAAACATTTAAAAAGTCAGCTACTAGCAAAAGACAAAGACAATTTCTAATCAGAACAAAATCCTACAATGATCTTCCATTTGCATACGTATTACTTCACAAAGAGCAACAGTTTGCTGTATCCTAGAATTCTGATTTAATACTAAATACAGTAGTATTTAGTATAATATTTAGAATAATACATTATTCTAAAACAATGATCATTAGAGTATGTCATTTAGAAGCCAAGAAGTACTCTAAATGGAGAAACACTAAGCCAGCTGAAAGAAAATATGACAGAAGTCTTAATTAATTAATTAATTATTAATTAATGAAAAATGTCTTCATTTTAAGTTAGTTTAAGAAACATTAAGAAAATTAATCAGGCAATTAAAGGGAACTATTGACTCCCATGTACTCAAAGTCCCATATGATTCAGTAAGTAGCATTAGAGTCAACCCATAAAGAAGCCATTCAAATAAAAGAGGAATATATACATATATATATGTGTGTGTGTGTATGTGTGTGTGTGCGCCTCAACATAGAATGGTGAGCCAAGAACTGTTCTGAATGATAGCTCATAACAAAAATATTCCAACACTGAAGGCTACACAAAAATAATAACATGCAGCTACATAGGAATCATAACATACAGCTAAAAATACTCTTTCAGTTTAGGAAAAAATGCCTATACATGAGAGAATGTTATTCACTAGCAGGAACAGGCAAAACAGTACATGTATAATTAAGCATTTTTTTCCATTTTACTTCAGGTTTTTACTTACTTTGCAAGTTGAGCCAGCTCAAATTCCAGTAATCTCTTTGCTTCCAACAAGGTATTGATTTCCTGTTTCAGCTGCTTCTCAGAACCCTTCAAGTTATCAGCTTCAAAAGCTTGTGCCTTTAATTCATTCTGTGCCATTATTCGCTTATTCGTCTCTTGTTCTAGCTTAAGTGTCAGATTCCTTACCTAAATTTGAGGTGAGAAATATTTAAATTTAAGAGCCTTTTCTAAATAACCAATTTCATGTGGCTGAAGAGGTTTCACATATGGATTATTTTATATTAAACACCACTGATTAGATGCTGCACCGCGTACCGTAAGTCAAAATACTCCTGAATCTCCAAACACTTTAGTGCAATAATCTGACACAAAACTGCTGCCCTTATAACCTATGGCTATGATGCTACAGGATGATAAAGTTTTCCCATTTTTGGTTTATTTCAAAGTCCCAGATATAACTTATCTGAAAGACAACAATTGAAGAAACACCAATTGTCTGCAAACCTCTCCATGTGTTTCAGATCGTAAAAACCTCTCCCTCTAGAAAGAAATGCAGCTTATCAACTACATAAAAACTAATTTACATGAGTTGTGACCTCTCAGAAAGGTGCTATAAACTTCATTCCCATTGTCCTGTAAAGAAAATGTAAGGATGATGCTATTATTCTTAGTCATAATTTTCACACTCATTCTAATTGCATTTCCTTGAACAAAAGAATGCGAACTAGACAACACAAACTCAGACCTGTAAATTATCCACATCAATCAGACTGCACAGTCAAATCCACCAGCAAATGTTTTCTTTAGAAAAAAAGAAAACACAAAAGAATTGCATTATATTGAATTGAGGTTCAAATATGCAAGACATCCTAGAGTTAAGAATCAAGCAGGAATTACCTAAACCTACTTAGGCCAACAACTATCCTCAATTCCACTGAGAGTTGCATATAAAAGGAGCGCAGTATAAGTGAATTTAATTTCCTATTTCTCAGTTAAATTCTAGTATCTTATTTATATAGAAAATTATTAGTGTTGAACTTCTTACTTACTTCATCTTCCAGTCTTTCCTTTTGCTGAAGAAGATGTTCCAGTTTCTGCTGAGATTGCTTCAGGTCAAAGTCCAGCATGGAACACTGTTTTTCAGCTTGAACTATTCTATTTTCTGCCTTCTCTCTTGCTGCCCGTTCTTCCCTTATCTTTTTTTCCATTTCTAGAAAAGATTAAGGAAAGAAAAACAACAAAAATGAGTAAACATAGCATCTGCAAGCGTGCTTTTGCAAAAACAGTCATAAATACCCTAATAATTCTCAGATCCTTTTGTTCAGCTATCTAAGCTTTTCTGCTGTTTGACAGACTGATTACTAAGTTAAAAGATCCTGGCACTACTAAAATGAACACTAAAAAAAGAAATATAATTCCAATCTGCTTTCAAAGCACTGGGATATTATCATGACAACTGAAAGATAAATAGTGAAAGAAATAAAAATTGCAGTTTCTTGAAGTAATAATTTTGAAGCAAGGCAAAGTTTCATTTCCATGAATGGATAGTAGCAAAAGGAAAAAATGCTACCATTATTGTTAACTCTACAAACCACATTTGGGTACTGATGACCTTCACAGAGAAAACCTGACATATTCAATTGCAAAATCAAGACATATCTTTGATTCATGGATATACATCTATAATAGAAACTTTCCCATTTCACTTCAGACAAGCCTAATATAACACTGGTATTTTTAACGCAGTAGCAAAGGAATGAATGCTCTAAGACATCTCCCTTGATAATGCATTCTTTCAATTTTGTTTAGCATTAGACGGAATTTCAAGATTCAATAACATTTTAGAAACCAAAGAAGGCTTTGAAGTAAGGTATGCAAAACATTAAGAAACAATACAGTTTTTATGAAATAACATGTTAGGGAAAATAATTTAAAATGTGTAGTTTTCACATTTTAAGATTTTAATATGCATTTTCTTTATAGAACGGACCAAATGCTTGTGCAAAAGTATTAAAATATAATCAGAACACATTTTATTACATATTTACCTGAAACTTGCAGGAAACACTTACCACACATCGCAACTGATCTTGCCTCCTCTATTGACTGGTGCTTGTCAGTTAACCGTGCTTTAGTCACTTTGTGCTCATTGACTTCCTGTTCTAACCGGTCTTGTAAGGATTTCAGTTTGTAGTTCAAATCTATCTCTAAATTATTCTTTTCCTAAAGATAAAGAAAAAGTTATCAGATTTCGATAATACCTGAGGGCATCACATTTTTATTCCCTTTTTTAGTATTAAATTTCTGTTATCAAGAGATTATCAATGTTATTCTCCACACTTAGTAAAGAACAGTAACAGACCAAAATTGTACTCGGTGCCCTGGGAAAAAATTCATCAACTTTTTTTCAGTAGTCTATAAATTTGTAAGAAAATGGAAACTTCTCCATTTGTATAATCAGTAGTCACCTAAATTGGAAATATACAACTAATTAACTGACATCCCAGAGCACAGAGGAATCTGAATAATTGTTTCCTGCATGGATTGGGTTATTTCATTCCTAGAATTGCCAGGCATTAACAGTAATTCATCAAACAAGCATTGGAGATGTGCTTACAGAGATGAGTACTTGCCTTTGAATGGCTGCTTCACATAACAGCAACTTAGACTTGCTTGCCCCTTCCCTCACAGGCTGTCATAACTCTGGTTTATTTGCATAGACTACACAGCACAGCAAGTATTTGCCTGACCTCACTAGATAGAGTTAACTCTGCAGTCTGTCTGGAGAAAGGGTGCAGGATTTCCTTTTACTCTTGTTTTTCCATCATATGGAAGGGATCAGAAATGCTAGGGGAACATTCTGCTACCATTCAGAAGGAAGAATGTAAGGACAGAAAAAAATTCCACACCAGAGTTGATCAAAAGGCCTGCCTGGCACTGATCCAGTGAAATTAAAATCCAGTAAAGGCAAAAAAAAAATAAAAACAATAAAACGACTTTAAAAAAAAACTGATTTTTTGAAGTTCATAGATTTTCAGAGGCAAGACTTTGTAGTCATAGCTAGGCAGGCAGAAAAAATTCCTTGCTACTGGCAGTAGGACTGGATCTTCGAATCAGTGATAAAGAATGACAAACTATTTTTTTGCCCAATGCTACAAGTAAGAACTACCTGAGGACTTGGGAGACCCTCCTGATGAGATTGTAAATTCGCAGTACTTAGTTAATAAACACAAGACTGATTTAGAGCAATAACGCTGGACTTGGAAACATCAATAATATTTGAAAATTTAGTCAACAGCTGACAAAAAGCATTGGCCTCAACATCATTTCACCGTACCTTTTCTGAATGGTTAAGCATATCCTGTGCTTGTTTTCTTTCTGCTTCCACTCGATCAAGATTGTTTTTAATGTTTTTTACTTCTTCTTGTAAAGTTGTAATCCGAACTGCCACAAAAAATTAAATACCACTCAATATTAGTTACTCTACTTGGAACAATTGGCTTTGCAACTTTACTGATTATTGGGCCCATAAAATATTTCAAATACTTCAAATTTTTCAAGCATGTAAAGACCATACATTGTACAGGAAACTGACCTTTTCCGACACTCTTTGATGCATGTCATCAGTAACAATTCACAAAATAATGCAGAAGTGGTTCCTGCCTTCCACCACTTACATTATTTAATATTCAAAATTTCTTTCATTAACCCAAGTTCTGCTATGCTATGGAACAAGCACCTCTTAGTGATGCCAACTTCACTAACGTGTAGATGAGGCACATTACACAGAACATCAGTCTCAAACAGATTTTTGGGTACTAACACAATGTATTCACTTAAGTGAGACTCAGATCATGGGCAAGTCAGGCACTGAAACAGGTTTCCCATGGAAAGTGTGGAATCACCACCTCGGAGTGTTCAAAAGACGTGTAAATGTGGCACTTAGGGATGTGACTTAGTGGTGGATTTGGCAGTTCTGGGGGTTAATAGGTGGCTTCAATGATCTTAGAGGTCTTTTCAAATCAAAACCATCCTATGATTTTAAGTGCTATGACATGGAAAAATGAACTATTCCTCAAACCCTACTGCATCTACCCTTGTGTGGTATAAGAATTTATATGGAATACTAAGTAGAATCACATGGTTTGGAATGGACCTCTGAAAACCATTTAGTCCAACCACTCTGCCACATGCAGGGACACCTCTCACTAGACCACATTGCTCAAAGCCCCATCCAACCTAACACTTCCAGGGACAAGGCAACAAGGAAACTTCCTGGACAACCTGTCCCAGGGACTCACCATCCTTACTGTAAAAAAATTTCTTCCTGTATCTAATGTAAATCCACTCTCTTTCAATTTAAAACTATTGTCCCTTGTCCTGTCACTACCAGTCTTGGTATAAAGTCTCTGTCTTATAAGCTCCCTTTTAGTAGGGAAAAGACAGTCCTCATCAAAAGCCTGTGCCTCATGGACATTCAGTACTGCAGACAGATGGTTCAAAATGGCAAGTTAAGAGTCGGGGTCCATTAGCACAGGCACAGTCATGAACTAATGCATCTGATTAGCTTCTAGTATGAAGAATCAATACAAATACTAGAAAGTTTCAACCATCCTGAAAAAAAGGGATTCCGTATCTGCATCCTCTATTGTGCTCTTAACTTTGCTTATAAAAGTAATGTAGAATCATCATAGAAGAAAATAAATGCAGTTTAACAAAAAAAAAAAAATAGCTTACTCCACAAATGAAAGAAGAGCAAGTGCACAATATACCAACTTGGCCACTGCACAAGGCAGTAAGACAGTGTTGCATCTTCTCTAGCACTGTATCAGCTCTTCATATGTTTGCACCACTGGACTCAGACTTTTAGTCAATGCAGCCCCAGACTCACAGTGTTTGACACACTTTGATTCTGATATTCTCTCTCCCTCCCAAGAGCTGCTCAACATGAGCAGGAAGCCAGATCCAATCTTCAGAACACAGTTCTGAAGTTCAGTCACACTTTGTTTGCAGGTTGGTTTTCCTCCCATTATCAAACTCCATTTAAGTAGGGTTATCACAACTTTTTTTAGTAAGGTATAAATTCAGAATAACTACCCTGTAATTCTCCAATCATTTCAGATCCATGACTTCTGTCCCTTCGTTCTGACTCCAAAGCTGCTTGTAGTTGGTAATAATCCTTCTCCACCTGCAGTTTTGTGCTTTCCAGAACTCTGCACCTTTCTTGCAGCTCTCTGTTCAGTGATTCTACCTGACTTAATGACTTGCTCATTTCTGTGTTACCCTTTCTCAGTCTTGCAGCTGTGTCAGATTCTGTCCTCAGCAAATCATTTGCTTCTTCTAGCTGTTAAAATAAACCAGACAAGATTTTCAAATATAAAGATTATGGAAACAGTTTTGCTACATTTGAATGTTCAAACCAAAGAAAGAAGAAAAGGAACACAACATACTTGTTTTTGTAACTGTGTTATCTTCTCATTTGAAATTTGTGAATGCTGGCTAATTTTTTTCAAGTCTTCCATCTGATCTTTTAGTGTGGACACTAAAGAGAAATTGCACCATTAATACAGCATACTAAAAAAAAACTTAGGGTTTTATTCTGGTTTTTTACACAAATATGCTCCAAAATATTGTTTTGAATTGATAGGTCTTTTGTTGACTTTTTGCTTCTTATATATATATTTTTGTCACATTTTGTGCTTGCAGACTAACAACACAGCACAGTGTTGCAGAGAACAGAATTTGAAAATAACAAAAATCTGTGTTCAAATAAAAATGAACTCAAAATCTGTGTTATTTGAAAAGATCCCTTTTCAAACTTTCAAGTTGCACAGCATTTAAGATACTATGATACTAAACTATTCCCAAAAACACATCATATACCTCCTCAGTGTCAATGCTTGGACAATATTGCATACCTTCATTTTCCACATTGCGTCTTTTTTCATTCTCTTGTTCAAATTTTCTTTGGTACTCATTTATTTTATGTTGTAACACCATCTTGTCCTTCTCAATCTGAGACACCGTGGTTTCTAAGTTCTTCCTCTGACTGCCCTAAAATTCAAAGAATTGGTATTTTATACTTACATTTTAAGGAATGATCACTAAACCAGGATCTCTGCAATTAATTAAACAAGGAAACTGATGCATTGTTTCAATTGAATGAATTCCTGGCTTCCTTGGAAAGGTTTACAGAAAAGACAGCTTTTTTTAACTTCTACATGACTAATTTATACAGTTACTAGAAAAATTGTTGTTAGTATGATTATATCTAAAGTAACTACTAAAATTACTATCAAGTGATAAGAGAAGGACTCAATAGAAAATCATCTGTATTTTTAAAGTAATTGACTTTGATAAACTCCAGAAAACTTGCAATGAGCAAGACTACATAAAATATTTAGCAGAGTAAAGAGAAATCAGCATGACTTACAGAAAGAAAAGTTTTTGAAAATGTGTATAAATAAAAGTGCTATGTATTGAAACATGATTGTTAGGTCTCAACCAATTTATTTAGTCACAAAAAAAATATCTTAGAATCATGAAAGTACTATTCTCAACTCCACTCTTTACCCAATTAAGGCATCTTCAGTGAGGAAAAAAAATTACCTCTTCATCCAGTTCTTTCATTATCTTGTCTAGCTTTATGTTTGAAGATCTAAAAATAAAACAAGATCATTTAATAGATACATTATACATATTTTTGTAGTGAAATGATTTGTGACCATTACTAAAGCAAACATTTATATTTTGACTAATGTTATTTTGTAATGAACATTTAAAGCTGAAGACAATCAATCATTGCAAATATTTTGTAAAATATATCACTAAATATTTATCAGCTTTGTTGCAGATTAAATATGCAAAACTTTAGATGCCACATTTTATTCCTTAATCTGCAAAAAACAGTGTATGTACACAACAGGTTATTCTTAAGATTAAAACACCCTGCTAAGCTACTAAAGCCTCCTCTAGTTGAGACCTCCAAATATCTAAAAGAGTTCATTAATTCCACAGTAGACAGCTTCCTATTACATATAAAGATATATAAACAACATTATTTTAAAGCCTTTCTGTTGGAGCAATGTATTAGAAAACTGGACTACAGAGAGAGTGCAGTGAAGTAAAACCTTGTTTAACCGGCAATAACTCTGACACATCCATTGCATTTCTATAGGCAGCTATCCCTCTTCAAAGAGGCAACAAAGAGGACTCAGACAAGTCTGCCTGGCAGGTACAAAAAGAGGCAGTTACAATAGTTAGCAATATCTCCTATCTACTAACTCTGCAGTGAATGGCAGTTCAGACACAGTTGTGCTCTGACAACTTCAGCAGCACTGCAGGAAGACAGCTACTGAATATCCTTCAAGAATGTATGTCCTGCTTGTGGAGAGCAATCAGAACATGCCAACAGTGAGCTTGTGTTTAAGTAAGCAGTGTCACACAGCCTAAATTCCCACCAGACCATTTCAGTCACCAGTTTACACCTAAGGAGCTTGTACAGCTACACACCATGGTTCCAATTCACAAGTCTAAATTCTTCCTGTATTATATACCTAGCATTGTCTCCTGAGATTATTTAATCCTTCAGGAAGAGACTTCAAAAGGAGAAGCTAAATGAAGGGGAATTTAGGTTGCATGACTGAATAAAAATGTCTGATTATCAGAAAAGAATAATCTCAACTGTTTGTTCCTAAGTGTGACTGCGAGAAAAATGCCAATTCTCACATAGCTGCTATTTCAGCATGATAGAAACAGAACTTTAGAAAGCAAACAGTTGTTCTTATATGTCAGTCATAGGAAAAAAGTGTTTTTCCAACAAGTACCTGTATTTAGAAAACAGCTAATTAATTTTAATACTCCAATATATGCCATATATTCAGAATCTCAACATTTTCAAAAAAATTAGCATGATGTGTGTGTACCTCAGTCCAATAAAACATCTGAATACAGAGATATCAGGTAAACTCAAACACTTAAGTGGTCAGAAAGAACATGTATTACATGGTTGTCAATTAAAAAAAAAATTCTTTATACCATACTCAAGAAAATTTTAGAATTACTTAAACCTGTGCCTGGAAATCCCTTGGAGAGCTACAACACCATTCTTAGTGTTATCCCAGTAATCCCTGAAGCAGTAACACAGAACTGAAATGCTAGATATACTGAAATTATGTAAACAATTCAAGTTCAGTCTCACCTGCACTTTTGCTCCATTTCATCTTTCAACTGCATTTCATTATGTAGCTGTTCTTCTAACTCATAGATCATCTTCTGCATATTTTCCAGCTTTAAGTATGTATTTATAAATGAAAGAACATGCATTAAATTTAGAAACTTAAAAAAAAGTATTTAATTATATTCAGTTCTGCTTACATTGTATCACAGCTTACTTTCTTCTACCAAAAAAACACATTTTACCTTATTAAAATGTGATGTGTGTCCCCTCCTCCCTGCCCCACCACACAATTTAATTACAAGAAGACCGTTTTTTTTCATTTGCATGCACATGAAATTTCAGGGTATCTTCAAAATTCACAGAGCTAAGCTAAATCACATCCTCTTAGGTTGACATATCTTCAGTATCTGACTAAAGATATTATTGCAAAGATATTAGAAAGCACTTCTGTTAGTCTCAAAATTTCTTCTAGCATGAACCACCACATGTATTTTGCAATGTATCTTCAAGCTCACAACAAGTTCAGGAAGCAGAACCAGGCCAGTCTGTTATTGGCAGTGGGGAGAAAGTGCTCTCACCATCTCTTTAGTCAGAGTTCATTTCTACAGCTAGAACTGCACTAAGGTTTGAAAGATAGTAACAAACTTCAGATGTTAAGACGGCACATTACCGCATGGCACGTACTGTTTGCCAGCAGGATAAACTCAGAAATTAATTCTTTTCATGTAGTCTCAAAATATCTACGTTCTACCAAATACCTAGGCACAATAATCCCATTCCAACATCAAAATCCTCAGTTAACATGACAGTGTGAGCTCTGACGGAGCTCATCAAGTCAACCGCATGTTGATTCATAACCTTTCCACTTATAATGTAAGGATTTCAGTCTATTTAATTTTTACACATTTCCCTCAGTGCTCTTGGAACTGCATAGAGAAGCACTAGATTCCTAATCTAGACTCAACATATTCAAGTGGTTTTGATGCTTTGCTTTCTTGTTTCCTGTTTTAACCCCAAGATCTCAAAAAACTTCCAAAAATTAGACATTTCAGCACTTAACAGAGAAGCTCTGGAAAACAATTACTGATGTGAAGAGAATATAACACTATGTAGATCATACAATGCTTGTAGTTAAAAACAAGGAATGACTTCTAAATCTAAACTCTGAGGGAAAAGAAGGACCAGTACACAACACATTTATGTCCTTGGTATGAACCACTACGAAATAAAGCAAGAATCAAGACTATTTAAAGGCTCTCACTTTAGTAAGAAAAGATCACAGCAAGTGCTCCAAAATGGAAGATAACGAAGGTTCAATGTGATTGCTCTTCCATTTCTTTATACTCATGTTATAGCCCTTCCAGACAGGGTGCACAGAGAAACTAAATGGGACAGATGAGAAACAAGTCTAAAAAGACATCTGGCAACTGATGCATTTCTGTACTGACTCCTACTAGCTTGAACTGCTATCGCATCCTCTTGCGTCTCTCTGTCTCTGCATGTTCTCACATCAGGCTGTACCCCAGGGGACCCATCTGAGCTTGCTGAGCAGTCTAATTATATCAGTAGAGACAACAGGCTTCCGGACAAAGTTCTGCACAATCTGCTATCAATAGACTAAAGAATACCTCAAGAAAATCCTGAGTTACAAATAACTATAAAAGCACTCCTTTAAGTTTTAGTTTGCTCTCCGTTTCCATTTTGTGTAGGAAGCATGGAAAGAAAGGACTACAGAAAAGCCTGTCTGCAACAGAGAAGTAAAGAAAAAATCCCTCTGAAACAGTCATCTTTTTTTCTTTTTTTTCTTTTTTCTTACTCAATACAGCATATTGAGTCTGGTTCTGCACCCTGAGCAATGAAGAAAACCTAAGATCCAGTGCAACAGAATCTGTTAATCTCCTTTTTCTTAAAATCTAAGCTGTTCACAGGTGGTTGCAGCAGCACTAAATAAAAGTAAGCAATCAGGTCTTCAAAGAGGTTTTATATTCATTAAAAGAACCTTGAATTCTATTTTTGCACAACTTCATGGCCTAACGCTGTTAAGTTTTATACACTTGCAAAACAATTGATTTCTTGGAAATCTGTGGCACTCATGTCTCTCCCCAATGACATTCAAAATGCAGATGTCAAAATGCAGAGAGACCAGGTAACATCTTGTGTTATATTTCCAGAACTAATTAATTTGCTAACCATGTGTCAACATTACCGTTTTCATTGCAGCATGTAATGAAAGAAAAACAGCTGAGAAAGAACAGTGGGGGAAAAATACCTTGTAGTAAAGACTTAACACTGATTTAAGCTTTCCTATACCAATCAAATTCTTCCAGACTTTCACCTCCCAAAACTGCTAAAATCACAAGACATTAAAATATATCTGACTATAGGGACAGGACTATTGAGGATTCTTTAACTACACACTGAGTAATATTCCACTGAGTACACCAAGTCCATTCAGTAACTCTTCAAAGTCAACCAAAAGCTAGCACACAGTTTTAAGTACTTTCAAACATTGGTATGTCTGGCATTATTTTTAAATTTTACTGTATCAACAGTCAAATGCTTAAAAGGAAAAGGAAGTATATCAAATACATAAATACACATAAAAAATCAAGACATTTCAACAATTAAATTTAGTTGTCCAATAAAGGACATAACCCCTTCCCTGGGCAGATTTTCTCTGGGTAGTGTCATTAAACCTTTTCATTGCTAGTTTAGGAAAAAAGGGAACACAGATCAGTATCTTTTCTACTCGCAACAGAAAACAGAATAAAACACTAACAAAGTAAATCGTAGTCTAAGCCAAGACATCTTTTAAAGTTAATTATCAATTTTTGACCACGTTTTCTTCTGGAAAGAATGCAATTTGTAAAATATCAAACCATTCTCAGGGAATTGCTTGATTTATATCAGAACTTACATAGAATCCAAGCACTCAACCAAGTCACAAGCACCTTAGCATACCTTCCTGAAAAACTGACTGCTGAGATGCTTGGGAAGAAGTAACTGAAGGAATTCCTGAGCTTCTTTCTTATTTCTTGCTAGATGAACTGCTCTAGAAATGCAAGAGTGCCCTAATTCCCAACAGCTTGTGGGGAAAGCTTGTGAAGGAGCAGCATGCCCAAGATTGGCACATTGTCTTCCACCTCCCACTGAGGTCAGTAGAAGTCTAGACCCCATGGCTGCCACAAAGCTACCCAGGATCAATAAGATACTCTAAAAACATTGCACAAAGCACTTTGATATTTCTGAAGATAAAAACTGTGAATCCTCTTCCACAAAGGGTTTTGACTATTTTATTCAATTCTGGAAAACCAATGTTATATTAAGAAGTAAAAGTCCGCTTTTCCAATAACTGTATTAGGGAGGCCATACTAAAGAGCTAAAAATTATACATTGATTCCTCATATCCCAAACACTAAGATAATTTGAGACATTTCTAACTCAAATGGTTTATGCCTATATATGCATTAGACTCTTTATTAGGATACAATAAAGATAAAAGACATACCACACTTTTGTCCACACTGGAGCCCATTCTGTTGTCATTGGAATTTTCTGCAGGGACACCTAAATACCTGCAAAAAACATTTTTAAAGTTATAGTTGAAGAGTTGTTTAAAGGCAAGATCATGAAAAAAAGATTAAGATAATACAGACATCCTAAAATATAACTCCCATATTTACTGCTCCAAAATGTAGATAATCAAATAGTAACATAATCAGATTTAAGCACATTTAATTGAAAAATTCAATTTATTGTAAAGGTTAAAGTAGAAAGCTGCAATAGAAGGCCTCCAGAAAAAAAGGATTTTTGCCAAATACTAAAACAACCACTTTTCTTTTTTCTAATAACCGTTAAAAAAAAAATCTTTGCTTTCCTTAGTTACAACACTCTCATTGGCTTCCATCCCATAAATATTTACTCAGGCACTTATGCAGCAAGTAGCAGTAATGAAGCAAAGTCTGCAGAGATTGTGTAACTTTCAACAAAGTTACTAAGAGTTCCACGCACAAGAAGTTTGCCCTGAAGCCAGTGTTCTTATTTTACGTAAATGTTTTCTAAAAATACCATAAATTTCTAGTTGTCATGATTCTGGAGAGTCAAGTAAATAAATACAAATTACTGTTTTCAAATTCCTTTGGTATTTGATGTGATATTCTTGGCCTTATAACTGATCTAAAGAGACATAAAGCATCTATTAAGGGCATGAGATTACGTGTGAAGTAACTCTCCAACACATGAACTGAGAAAGATGAACACAACCTTTTTGTTTCACATGGATATTTTCAGGTATAAGAAAACCTCTCCAAAATATCAAGGAGGGTAAAATCAAAAGCATCTCCAAACCATGGTCAATTTAAACATCAAGCCAGCTTTCAGACAATCAAATGACAAAGTGGAAATGAAACAGTTTCCTATGTTTCAAGGAAACAAGCTTGCTGTTTGGAGTACAAGAAGCCACCATATTTTACACACCAGGGCTTTTGAGCAGTAAGAATGTGATACTTAAACAGGCACAGCATCAGCTCCCCCAAATCTAGAAGAGAACTCACAAGCCAGATAGGGCTACAAAGCCTTCTCGGCTGGTATACCAAAATCTGTGTTAAAACGTCCAAATACAGATTTATTTTTTCTTTTAATGCTTGAACTATTTTCAGATTTTTCAAGACAATCACACCAGCAGATAACAGGACAAAATTAAATTCTAAGTCAGCATCATAGTTCTAATAAGCCTACAAAGTTATGTTAGCAGAGAGCAGCAGAGCTCTTTAATAACAGCAAGAATATAGCCACTTAATTATCTAAATTCCTGATACTGTCCCCCAAAAAGGAAGACAGGGAAGGAAGAAATTCTGTTATTAACAAGCTCCTAATATGCTACTTCTTGACAATATATTCCAAAATATTCCTGCAAGGCAAAAATTAAAACTTTTCAAAGTTACAGACTAAACTGAGAACAACAGGTGAAACTCTTGAACTGCTGAACTCACGCAAAGTACGCAAAGCCTGCAAGTCCTTCTACACCTTACCATGGCAAAAAGTAACAACAAATCCAACTCTTTGCAGAGATGGAAAGAATTTCACCACAGGCTTGGAAAAGTGTTTCCTCTTCTATGCAAGGACAAAAACCAGATTTATTTCCTTTAAGATTTTCCTATCCAGAAATGCTATTAAAACTAACAGTCTGACAGCTCTGCTAGAAGTTTTAGCCCATTTTAAGCCTGACACCATAATTAAAAGCAGATTTCCAGGTATTAAAAAGTTACTGAGATTTTTGAATGTAGATATAGCTATCCATAGGACCTACAATATAATGACTGTTGAAAGCATGAATCAATACAGCTTTGACTGACATAATTTAGAAGTCTTTTAAGCAATAGTGGAAGCCGTAAAGTATCACGATCTCACTCTGTCAGAGGATGTATACTTAAGAAAAATTATGAAGCAGAAAGCAGGCAAGTAGGAAATCTTTCTAGTAAGCCAAGGTTTATTTTACCACACACTAGAACACTGATGTAAAGTACGGAAATTTCATATTCAGCTCAGGGACAGTAATATGCAGTAAAACAAATGGACTTTCAATCCCTGATTCATGACTCTACACATAATTCAGTACTCTGCAGGGAGCTCTGTGTGGTAGTGGCAACAGTGGATTTTTCTTGCTTAGCTTCTGCAGCATCATTATAAAATCTTCTCAATGCAGAAGAGGACACTCAACAACACAATGTGATATTTTAAGGTAATGATGCCTTGTAGTACTGGTTATCACTGTTAAAGTATTAAAACAGTATAATTTTTAGTATTCTGAATGACTAATAAGTATCTGAATAGACTTAAACCTAAAAATTGGTTGGTAAGAGTCAGAAACAGTGCTAACAAAGAAAACACAATTAATTTGCTTTCTGCATACGTACCGACGGTTGCTGTAGTACGTAAATCCTACAAAAGGAAGCTGGTTGCCCACAAATGCTTTTGGTATGGGAAATGTTTCTTCCTCTCCTTTGTCTTCTTCCAGATCATCGAAATTACTAGTGTCAATGTCACTACTTAAGTCAGGCACAACTGGTGCTACCGCTGGAAAAAAGGCAAAGTAGTATGATAATAATCAGTGTATTACTCAAATCACTATGAAAATTTTTCTTGGAACAGAGTAAATAAAACTTTAAACCCCTTTAAACAAAATACACCAATCCTTTTGCTACCATGATACATAGGTAAGCCAGACCACCATTTCTGAGAAAAGCACTATACTTACTGTCTCTGAGTGTTTCCCAAGCCCACTGATCATTTTTGAAGAAAAGGTGCCGTTTAATTTCTTCTACACCATTTCGTCCTAACCTCACTTCCCTGTTAAAGAATGGTTTGGTTAAACACGTGAGATTCCATTAATTATTCTGAAGGAAAGACTCATTTTAAAGCATAATCTAACAAAAAGGACAATAAAATACCTCTCAAACTATAGTAAAATGTAGACATAACTTGAAAGTTTTCATAAGAAGATCTCTATATGAGCACAGCAGCTACATTTCAGAATACAGCCTGGTTTTAACTTTTGCCTATAAGAAACTCTGCTGCTTCTGTTTCCACATCATGGACAGCTCAGGCAATTGCCAAGTTGTTACACTGCACTCAGGCCCAAGGCACTAAAAATTTCACTTCTCTTAAGCAGTTTAAAAATACACACAAAACAAATACTCTCTTTTTCAACATGACAAGAACTACTCTTAATGAAGGCTTATTTTCATAATGAGAAAAATATAAACCTTACCTATCAGTTAAAAAGGCACAAATGAGGTTTTTTGCCTCTTTAGAAATGTCACTGTCATCAGGGAAAGTAAGGGAGTTCTTATGGTTCATAATCTTACTGTACGTTCCAACCAAAGAGTCTGCATAAAAAGGTGTATCGCCTGAAAAAGCAGAACCACAAACATCAAAAAGCAGATCAAAACTATTGTAGACTTGATTTGCAATATTTGACTCTCATATATAACAGTGTATGCAACCAAGTGAACTAGAGATAAGGATAGATGTTTTGAGAACTCTGCCAGAATTTTTCTAAAATATATTCTGTAAATGCCAGGATCTGTAAACCACAGTTCATGCCAGAAGAGCAATGATGTTAAAAACAAGAGTGATTTTAACATGGGAGTCTAGTTAAGTAGTGCAGTCAATTCTGAGGACCCTACTACTTACCTACAAGCATCTCATACAAGAAGACTCCAACTGACCACCAGTCACATTCCCGCCCATAGTAACCATCCCCTCCCTGGGACTTCAATACTTCAGGAGAGATGTAGTCTGGTGTTCCCACCGCTGTGTCACATCGTACCATTCCTTCCTACAAACGAGAGGAAAACAGCCAGGCCCACATATAAGATCCAAAATTGTCAGTAAGTTCCATGAGCTTATGCAGCCTAAGCAACATCAACAGATCCACATCAAATTTTGTCAACAAACGTTCTTTTTAAATTTTTTTTAATATATTTTTGAAGTCTAAGCTGCTAAAGCCAGAACAAAGCACTAGATCTGTCAAACACAATGGAAGTTACTTTAAAACCCTCCATTAGTACCCAAGAAGTAAACAGAATTGCATCTAGGCCCTGCACACACCACACAGCCATTCATGCCAATATAATTGTGTCATTTGCTGACAGGATGTACTGTAAACAGTGAAATCTCTTCTGTTAGCATAAATGGGTCAACATCAGGGATTTTGATAACAGGAACAGTTGAACTGCAAGTTTTTGGCCTCTGACCCAATATACTGAATGCTACAAAGACAAGGCTTAGATAAGGCTTTGAAAATCTATGTAGAGAGACTTCAGAAGAGGTAACAAGTGAGAAGAACCTTTGATGTTCCTCACACCCCTGAGAAACAGCTGGCAGAACTGAGATCAGTCCCACTGGAGCTGTCATCCAGAAAACTGAAGGTGTACACACCCCCTTTTCCAGTGCCATTCAGGCACTTCTGAAATAATCCTATGCCATTCCTAAAAACAGACCAGTGGAAAAACTTGCATAAAAAGTTATAACTAATCAAACAAAATAAATATTAATCTAGTGCTGCACATGCAGCAAATCCAAAATTAAGCTCCTATGCTGAGCAGCTTTTCTTCTAGAAGGTAACCTTTCTCTATCAAAAGACTAGAGGAACCAAGACTAGGCTCAAGACTACTAGGATTTTTACATATAACGTACACTTGGTTTTCATTGGTGCCTTTTATTCAGCAGCTAAGTACAGTAATTTATTCAAATCTCCTAGAATATGATGAGAACATATTGTACATATTACACCAATTCTACTAAGTACCATGTATTTCAGATTTCTATAATATGTTTTCCTCAAATATATGGGCAGGCTGACACAAACCCCTCAGTTTTGTGTAGGGAACAACAGTGCTACACAGTACATGAATATTGCTGCAAAACATTTTTTTAAATGACCTCAGAATGCATTTTTTAAAAAATAATTAATAGTTCCTGTTTCCTTCACATTTGTCCTCATGCTATGTCAGCAATGGCTAATAATTACAACTGATATTCAGAAGCTGGCAAGTAAGTTTTGATTCTTTCATTTCTTGTAAAAATCATCTCATTTCTTTGCACTAGCTTTTCATACCAAAAGACTTAAATAACCCTTAGCATCTAGAGACAATCAAAGAGGCTTGACTTCAGAAAGTTTCTCTGGAAAACAGTACTTGAAGAATGATTTCTGCACTTTACATTGTCACTGAATAAGATGCATGAATCACAGAATCATAGAATGATTTGGGTTGGAAGGGACCTTAATCATCTAGTTCCTTTCACTAGGCCATGAAGAACAGTAAGGGAAGAGAGTGGCATTTTACACCCTTCTCATCTAGCTTAAAACTTTTCAGTATCTTTTCACTTTTAAGTATGTTTTCCTTTGACAAACATGAAAGTGAAATTGCAAACATCTTTACCTTGTTCATCTTCATACAAGTACCAAAATCTGCTAATTTTAAATGACCAGCTTTATCTAGCAGCATATTATCAGGCTTCACATCTCTGAAAGAAGAAAAATATATATTTTAGAAAGTAAAATTTCAATTTAATTGACTTAACTTATGAAAATAATGGAAGTCAACTGCTTTTCGGATATAACATTGCAGGCAGCAATTAACATAACAGCACCATTAAAGCACCACTATTGCCTCCATTGTTTCCTGTTTCCTCAAAGTATCATGACCAACACAGACTGCTGTACTACACCGTTTTTAAGAAGTAGAACACATGTGAGAATACAGCCTTAAGTAACCAAATTTAATAGATGTGGACACTAATCTTGAACCTCAAGTTCATAAAAAAACACTCACTGGTTATGTCAAATAGGCATTGAAAACATAGCTTCTTTTCTGTACCATTTCTATTTCAAGGGAACAACTGGATGTCATTTTCGAAATTCTATTATTGTGAACAAATATTTTCCCATGACTCAAGAGGAGCATTAACTTATACTACCCTCCACCAAGTATGTTCACTACAGAATCTTTCATAAAGTAACTGGTAAATTGCAGCATGTTCAGGTCATTGAACATAATGAAGCAGAAGAGCAGTAAGAAACAACTATCAAGATAGCATAACACAAATTTCAGGAGAAAGTATATTTCAGAGACCTCAGAGAAGAACTCTGGCCATAACTGCCAGATGAAATGTAGTGCAAATGCACCACTACATTCACAGATTAATTTTGTTTAAGAGGGATTTTTGCAAGACTCCAAGTTAGCTGCCTGATCAAAGTATAGAGACAAAATCAGATTCAACTTCAAAATTACATTACGTTACTCACGGTCAAATCTGGGCAAGTTTTCTTTTTTTGAGGATGAAGAGTCCATAACCTCTTTCTTGTACTGTTTGACCTCCCTTATAGTGGAAAAAAACAACTCCTAATGAATAGCTAGATATTCTCCTGCTGCAGCTGGTGTCATCCACTGCCTTTCATCTTCTCACCATGAAGCTTCAGGCTGTCCACCTTTTTTATAAAGTCCTGCTGGGCAGCTGGTGACTAATGCTTTCTGTCCTGCCTAAACACCGTTCATGTTGTGAACAGACAGTGCTGATCTTGGTATCAAACCTCTGGAGAACTGCCTGGTAGCTGACTGCTGCTGGACAGCACAAGCTAGTCAAAGAGTATCTAGACAGCGCTACATATTCAAACTGTACCTTTCTAACCTGGCTACATCTACAACCTTGCTAAAGTCAAGACAAACATACTCTGCCTTGTCAGTAAAGCCCATCATCTCAACACAGAAGGCAATTGGTTTGGGAAGGCGTGCATTACACTTCATAAATCCAAGCAGGCTACTCATAATCATCTTCCCATCCACATGCTCAGAAACCATTTCCTGACAATTTAATCCACCTGCCCTTAAGCTGGCTAGCCTTCAGGTCTTCTGACTCTCTCCTCCCAGCTCTTCTTGGCAAGACAGATGTGCCATTTGTTTCCTTCCAGTCATTAGGAATCTCCTAATTCCCACACACCTTCCAAGGTGACAGCAGCTCTCTAACCAGCCGTGGCACGTACTACCGTGTGTCCTGGACATGTGTGTAATCCAGTCTACACAACTGGGACTCAGCTTGATCTTCCTCTGCTAGAGCAATGCCTTCCTCTCCCAAGTTCTGCCACTGGGGCACAGGACCTGAAAGGCCTGAAAGCAGACCTTACCAATGATGGCTGGGGTAAAGGCAGCAGCCTCAGCCATTCCCATGTCCTTTATCACTCGGTCCCTGACCCATTAAACAGTAGGCCCATATTTTCCTAAGTTCCCTCTCATTCATCAGAGTTGAACAGATTAACTACAGGGAAAAACAAATTCCAAAAAATGTCCTAGTGTCAAAATAATCTGAATTTTCAAGAAAAAAAGAAACTTCTCCATGCTGCTGGCATCTTCTAATGCCTGCTTTCCAAAACTAGCAATGCACACATACGATAGTTCATTCAGCCAGATAATTTACCCATTAGATGCAGCATAGCTACATAATTAATGATGCTCTAGATCCTACTCAAGCAGAGTAGGATCAGTAGTTTATTTTGCTTTGTGTTTGCTTTTTTTGCAAAATGTTAAAATTTTGCAAAACATGTTAACACTGATCTTGTGATCAAATTACAAACTGAAAATGCATATACTATAGTGTATACTATATACTACTCAAATTCTTCCTTTATATTTTGTTGAAAAAATTATTCTTCTACTCCTAGTTAATATAATTAAAAGCTGAAGCAGATACAAGTTCAAATATCAAAAAGAAAACTTCTCAATCTATCCGAGAAGTGACACCATTTCACTTTAGGGCAAGTACATAATATGAAACTAATCCAATTCCCTTTGCTCTGCATCTCAATTTTCCATCTTACCCCTCTCAAGAAAACATATGGCTGGGAGATTTTCCTCACATTGTTCACAGATTCTTGTTTAATGGGTCACTGAGGCTTCAAATTCCTAGCAGAGAATTAATTCCCAATAGTGGATACTACTGTGATCAAATTCCCTAAACAGCTTTTTTTAAACAAAAGAAAATAACCATTTTGGGGCCAACATGCTCATACCATTTTTGTTCTTTTTATCTCTTGGTAAAGTGGCACAATTTTATTGCTCCCCAAACTGAGGAACATCAGCCCACTGAAAACCTTCACTTCAATTATACAACCTCAGACTTACAGTTTCTGATGGCAACAACTTTGCAATTTGTAATATGGAATAATTATGGAATAACAAAGTAATATCTTGAATTTTAAAACTGCCTAAACTGAAGAAATTCTGGCAGCATCAGGAAACAAACAATCCTATGTAACATCTTTTTCTTTCTTACCTGTGTATAAAACCCATTGAGTGAATTGCATCTAATGCAAGTACAACTTCAGCAGTATAAAATCTTGCCCATTTCTCTGGAACATCGTAATTACTCATTAAATTCACAAGGTCCCCACCAGGCATGTATTCCATCACCATGTAAAGGTAACGGTCATCTTGGAATGCGTAAAATAACTGCAAAAAAGCAAAACCAAAAATTAAACCACTTAAAGTTACAGTTATCTTTAATAATTTGCATGTTGGCATATCAAAGACATTTCTGTGCAAGCTGATTTCCAAAGTAACAGAATTGCTACAATAACTGCAGCAATGCCCCATCATTCAGCAAACCTCCTAAAAAGAAGTTAGCCTCTAGAACAAAATTTAGGCAGATCTTCCATCCTTTTATATTACCCTGGAAGAAGTAGCATGTTGGTTACAAATTAAGATTAGTGAATTTGGTGCAATAAATTTTGAGATAAGAGAATGCTCATTACATTTAGACAAAATATTTTTCTCACTGGGATGTTAGTTGACCCATATGCAAAGATGAAGCTATTCTGTTGCAAACATCTGTCTGATTCTACTTGTATTATCACTAAATGTTTATTTTTCTAATGTCGACATTTATTTATTATACAGAAAATGAGCCTAAACTTTAAACAATAAAAATATTTCCCTTAAAGCTGTCAACCCTCTGTTCAACATGAGTAGGGCAATCAGATTTTTCTTTAAATTGCATGAAATCCCTAAGTTTTATTCTGAACAATCACACCCAGACAGATAGTAAAGCAGTTACACATTTGACTTGGGAAAATCTTGAATGAGTTTGTGTAATTCCAACCTAATAGAAAAATTTATATGCTTAAGGCTAAGAACAGTTTAAATTAACAAGCTGACATGTGCACACACAATGCTCAATGATTGGTTCGGGCATACTCCTTAGAACTTCAAAGGCAGCAGCGCCTCCCAAAAAACTGTCAGTGACAACACTGAAATGGTGAAAAAATAACCAGAGCACGCATAATTTTCAAAGATACACACAGAAATTAGAATATACAGAAGCTCTTTCTTAGGTGCATCTTTCTGGTATGCTGGATGATTCAATCAACTACTACACAGCAGATGCACCAATATATATATCTAGCAAAGATTTCTAATAATAAACAGTATGGTTTATCTTGTATATGTGACAAAATACAGTTTGAAGCAAGTGTGATATCTGCCCTTTTGTACAGCATTCCTTGTATTAGTCATGTATTCCCTAGCAGATCAAAAAAACAAAAAAGAGACTTCGAAATATCTAATTCCAAGTCATACAGTGCTGCAACCAAACTATTCTGTAATGCCAGTATTTCAAAAGTAATGTCACTTTACCTGAACAACCCAGGGACTATTAGCAAAAGCCATAATATCCCTTTCTTCCCAGAAGAATGCAGAATCAGATCTTTTGATCATCTCAAATTTGCTCAGAAGTTTCATAGCATACACTCTCCTTGAGGATTTATGCCTCACCTGTTAAGACAAAGGTGACATGGAGCATATTAGTTTGCCATATTAACACATGAAGAACATCACTGAAAACATTACTTTTCCTACTTTACCATTTAACACATTTTATGAGACTCTTCACATTACTATAAAGGATTATATACCATACATGCACAAAATAGTTACATCTGACAACGCAGTACTTTTAAAATACTTGCTATAACGTTTCAACACGGAAGTCCATAGGCACAGGAGTTACATAATTTGCATGTATGTGCCTTTAAAAGGACAAATATTGGCAGCTAATGTTGTTAAATACCATAAAGTTAAAACTATAAGCATTTTCCAGAGTTCATTAGCAGATGTGCATACCTGCTGCTGTATTTCCAGTTTCTCCCACCAGCATGCGATTAAATAAAGCAGGATTAACAAGCCTGGCTGCTAACCTATCACAAACAACACACATCTCTCATCTATGAGAACTATGTCCACAAAAATCTGGTGTAGTCCCTGAACTGGCAGAAACTCTTCTAGCCCTTAAGACTTCAAGTGTCGATGGAAACATTGGTGAAGACTAATTTTCTTGATTATGAGGAATACACATTAGATGCAGCACATCATATTATATTCTCCATTTTAAGAGAGAAGACTATGGTGCAAAACAGGTATTTGTGTGCTCAGGCAGGACTAAAATAGGACATTTTCAAAAACATTTGCATAAAATGTCATTGAGTCAAAGGCTTTAATATTTAAGACTGGATCTTCTGAACACTACACTGAGAAACAGATGCATGAGCAAATACTACAGAATATGTTAAAAAGTACAAATAGAAACTTAACTTACCAACTGAACCTCCCCAAATGCCCCTCTACCGATCACCTTCACCACTTCATAATCTTCAGCTTTCATGCGCAGATCCCTCATTTTGTTTACTGTGTCTTTATCTACATAGAACAAAATTCACATTTCATATATAGTCAACTTCATTAAACCCATTTGCCTAACTTTAATTTTCCATAGTTTTTAGAAGTGCTGCCTTCCCACTGAAAAACTCTCTGCAAGAATGCATGACTTTATTCTCATGACCATAGTTACCAAAACCTGATACAACCTAGTGCAATGGCTCTACTGTACAATCTTATTACAGGAGATTTTAATTTAGGAATTCCATTAAAAATAATTACCTGGAAAAAAAATAGCTATACAAAAATTTAATATCCAGCATGATCCTTCTTGCAAGCTGATCAGTATAAAAAGATTATTTCTGAATAAATAAGCAACACAGCTGGGAAAGTGTGCAAAAAAATACACTACAAGACACTTGAAAAAATATTTTTAAAAAAAAGTTTCACTTTTCTGCACTTTCATGATTCCTAATACTCAAAAAAAGATTTTAATTTAAAACAGCAGTGGGAATCATTGCAATTATTTATATAAACCTGTCATTCTATAAACTAGAATAATTTACAAACTCCCAGTGGGCAGATACTCTAATTCCAAATTTGGTAAAAGATTAAAACAGTCTATTTTAATCCATGTGGGTCAACACTGGCATGAGACTACGTAGAAAAGCTTCATGCTTCAGTATTTCTAAAAGCCAGGAAGTTCTACTAAAACAGATATGCTTCTAATAAAAAAAAAAATGCAATGGTATTTTATTTTCAAAAATAATATATTCTAGGCCTAAAAGCAAAGTTTAGAGAGAAGTAAGGACAGGGGAAGAAAAAGAAGGATAAATAAAATATTTTAAGTTCATGTGCTAAAAAAGATGAAGCAGATGACAGAAAATTATGATTAGGTTTCTACCTACCCAGGCCACAATCTGAAACAAAAGCAGCCTATCTACAGTAAATATTCAGTAAGATTTTATCACCTCAAGAGGAACAAACATAGTTCTGTCTGAATAAATACTCTGCGGCATTACAATCTAATGTAAAGCAACCATTTACAATGCAGCATAACACAAGCTGATTTTGGTAAATTATAGCAAAATTCTAAATTCTGACAAATTCTTTCACATAGGGATCAAAATATCCAGTAGTTCCAACAAATAATGCATTACCTTATTTACCCTGGTGACAACTGGCTTACAGAAGAGGAGGAGCAAGGCAGCAATTTTTATGACAGCAATTTTCTAGCTATTGTTAACCTCCTGCCTAGTAATCTCACAACAAGAGATTCACCCCTCTGAATGAAAAAGCCTAAGCACAATATGAATCCTTTAAATGGTATTCAATCACAATTGCCTAACAACAAAGCAGAATTAAGGAAAATACATCTTTAGAGCAACCTAGGCTAAGGATTTTAAAATAACTTAAGCCAAGCTTGTGATCAGTTGCAAATGGAAATTTACTGGTTGAGATACATACTCACACTCAGTTATCTTCAGACAAAATGTTACAGTAACAACAGTGTTGGAAATCATATTCTAACATCTGTTAAACAAGGTTTATCAGGCTGCAATATACTTCAATAGGCAGTTCCTTATCTCCCAGGACCGGTGGAGGACATGGCCACCTTATGCTGTATGAACAGCTGGGGTGGTTCCCATGGCAAAAATCACCCTCTCCAACTTGCCCTGAACTTTGGTTATAGGCTCAGATGCTGCCTTGAAATAAACTGAGTCACCACGGCAAAGCAGGGCTCTAAGATACCTCTAATACTCATTTCTTTATCCTTTTAATTCTATACGGTAGAGAAACAGTAAGATTCTACATTTGCAAAAATCATCCTCACAACATCAGCCAGTAGAGGCAGATTTTGAAGGCTGCACAAATATGTAATGTAAATTAGTGAGAAGTAAAGAGGTGATAAGGAATGATTCATAGAGCAATCAGTCTATAAAATAAAGGAAGCAAACGCCTATCTTATTTGCCATCTAGAAATTTATTTTAAATTTCTGCAATAATGTTGCAAGTCAGACAGCCAATACTGCAAAAAGGTATTTTAAACAGTCTTCTAATAAAATTAAATAAACATGAAAACGTCTTTTTTATTTTTTTTAATAGAAATTCAAGGCAAACTAGACTTCAGAGTTCCCTCTAAGGCCACTACTCACACATCCACAGCTTGCTTTCATATTTCAGCAAACACTGCAAGTTAATACTTCAAAGGCAGTTTTAAGGGAACTAATGTGTTCTGTTCTCCACCTTCAGATTACTTCTGATCACATCTTACACAGTATGTAATTTATACCTAAAAGATATTCATTATCAGGTTGTAAATGTAAAAGTTTTCTTTCACTAGCCCCAATGGCAGAAGTGAAGTTTTTTGAGACTCACTAATGATTTCACTACTCAAAAATTACATTCAAATTATCTGTTGCAATGAGTATTTCCTTTGCCTGATATAACTTCTCTTTTCCTCAAGTGTTTCACCACACCTTCTTAGTAAATAACTGAGAATACAAAATGTGCATGTAACTCAGCATATGGTATCAACACAGTTTGAATTGTGAAAAGTTAAACAGAACATTTCATCTTAAGCTTTCAGTAACCAGCTTATGTGCAAGTGAGCCATCAACTGGACCCAAATATTCACACAAATGGAGATTAATGTAAAATTAACACCACAAATTCCCTATCATAGGTTGCAGTTGTACGCAATAAATGATTTGAAAACACCATGGAAACCATGAAAAAAAAAGCCTTGTAAATTTCCAAGCAAAGACAGAAATTATTTTAGTCAAATTATATTTACCACAAA